AAGAGGGCAGCACCTCCTCCTCCAGGAGCTGCCCAGGACCCAAGGCTAGTACCCACCGTAAGTGGGGAAGATATAGCTCAGCACCGCCCGGAGCTCCGGGGAGGCGGGCAGCTGCCGCAGGACGTCAGCCAGGCTCTGGGTGGATGCACGAAGGAATGGAAAGAAACGGGTGAGCGGCCCACATTTGCTGATGAGCTGAGCTAAGCGCAAGGGAAGCATCTTCAACAAGACGGCATGGATGGCTCCACGTGACACCACCTGGGGAAAACATGAGCCTTGAGAACAGGTCCCATATCTAGAATACTGTCAGGAAATCGCCATTCCAATAGCCAGCACCAGCCCCCAAGCAGGGCCCAGCACCACTTAGACCTGGCTGAACTTGGGTTTTTAAAATTCTGTCCTCCGTGAATTGTTCCCATTCCACATTCAGATAAGACCTTCTCTGCTTTTCAGTTTTCTGACCAAATTTCTTTTGAAAACTCCCATCTGATCTCAGAGGAAGTAAAAAAGCCTGTGATCTTACCAAGTAGAAGCCAGCCTTGTCAAAAAGGAGACCAGGGTGCCCCCCAGAGGCCAGAGTGAGAGTGGCAGCCGCCAAGCCCAGGGTCCAGAGACAGGACCCAGCTGGGCACTGAGGCCAACTAGGGATAGTGGCTGAGTTCAGGGCAGACTTGACTGTTTCTCCCTTCTTGCCAGGGAGTCGCTCCACTCATGAAGAAGGTCAGCCTTTTCAGGAATAAACAGGGGTCCTCAGCATGGCCATGTTACCTTAACCAGCTTTACATATTTGTCAATGGCAGCTTCTTCCTGGGGAAACTTCTCCTTGAGGCCCTGAATGTAAGCTTTCTCCCCACTGTACATGGGGAACTCCTTTCGGCCATTGGGCCCTTCTAGTACCATGATGTCAAAGGGAGAGGACAAGGCAGCCCAGTCCAGCTGCCCCTCCGTGATCTGGTCCAAGACCAAACGGCAAATCCCGTCCTCTTGCATGGACCCAACATAATGGATTCCTATTGGGAGAGAGAAAAAAAAGGTGTCATAGAGATAAGGGGACTGACCCCTGGAAAGGTGGATAAGGAAGCAAGGTGAAAGGGTTAGTCCTGCCTGGCTGAGTCCCCCACCCAGAGGATGCCACCGACCCTTTCCGTGGGGAGGAGTTGCAACAGAAACCACCAAATCTCTGCCCAGTTCCATACCCAGTGGTTGTGGCTATCAGGCAAAGTGGTGCCTCCAAAACAACAGAGAAGTCCAGGATCCTCCGACAATGGCTTCCCCCAGCCTCCTGAAGACAGAGCCATGCTCCCAGCCCCTTCCCACATAAACCTTACCTGTGTCAAACTCAACACCTTTCTGTCCGAAAGTATGACAGCAGCCTCCGGCCTTGCCGTGTTGTTCCAGCACCAGAACTCGCTTGCCAGCTTTGGCCAGAATCGCAGCTGCAGCCAGGCCCCCAAAGCCACTGCCAATCACCACTGCATCCAGATTCTCTGGCACTTGGCTGGCTGAGAAAGCTACCGCAGAGGGAAGAGTCAGAGGATGAGCTTCTCAGGCAGGGGCAGCGGGAGAGCAAAGAGATGGAAACCAAGGAAGACTCCACTAGCTTATACAATGCAAGTGAACTCTAGGGAGTTCGGCATGGAGTGACTGACTGAAATAACTCCACCCGTTCACCTGGGAAATTCTCAGGGACCAGCCAGGCAGATTAAAGACAGCGATTTGATATGAGTTGAATTGATGTAATCAAAACCCATATGTACCTGGAGATTCTCCCTACTATCAAAGAAAGTAAGAATCAGTAAACCACAACACAAACAAAACCAGAAAGCTGACAGTAATACGGGCTGAGAAACTTCAGTGCAGATAGAGAGCTGGGAAAGAAAGAAAACGAGGAGATGGGGGACAGAGGAGAGTGTTGTGGGCAGGCTGCTGGCTCATGGAACTGTCCATTCACAAGTTGGTTATCTTTGGAAAATACAGGGTCTGTTGGCACCAGTGGAGCAGCCTGGCCTATGATGATTCGTCACGATCCCGAAGCAGAGGCTTGAGCAGGACAGAGCTGAGAAATCATAGCACCACCCCCTTAATATCGGAGAAGTCTAGAGGCAGAGCTAAGGGGTCACACAAGATCTGTTCTTTAAAGATCACTCCTGAAGAACTGAGATTTGAAATTTTTCAGACTGCACAAGAACTTGGAAAACTTAGGCACCTGGGTGGCTCAGTGGGTTAAGCTTCTGCCTTCAGCTCAGGTTATGATCTCAGGGTCCTGGGATCCAGCCTCACATAGGGCTCTCTGCTCAGCAGGGAGCCTGCTTCCTTCTCTCTCTCTCTCTCTGCCTGCCTCTCTGCCTACTTATGATCTCTCTCTGACAAATAAATAAATAAAATCTTAAAAAAAAAACAGAACTTGGAAAACTTTTCAAACATTTTTAGAGGAACAAGCACATTTTATATCACAACCCTGGTTATAAATAAGTATATAATATAAATACCTGAAATAGGAGTTTCACAATTCAACACTTCCCAGAACTATGTATGATGACTCTGATAGTTTCTATTCTACCACATTTTGAAATCCAAACTGCGAAATCGAATTCATGACCCACTGATAGATGACAACCTGGTGTGAAAAAGTTATACTAGTCACCTCATTTTTAGATTAACCCAAGATTGGTGGAGTGACTTGCAAATGGTTATGCAGTAAATTAATGACAGAGTTCAAGCTAAAACCCTGATCTCAGAAGTTCAGACTAATAGTCTTTCCACTTAAAAGAGTATTGTGACTGCCTGTATCACAAGATGTGTCACACAGAATTCTAAAATTTACAAGTGGTAGGGACCTTGGAGATCAAAGAGGAGATCTATTTTTTTTTTTTTAAGGCAGAACTCCTTCTTTAAAGCTTTTGAGGAACCCCAAAATATGTCCTAAAGATGAGAGTGGAGATACTCTGGTTGACCAAGGAGCAACTCTGAGCTTGAGGCATCCTGTTGAGGTTCTCCCAAAGTTTTAGAACCAGAGTTCGACCATATAATTTGGGAGGAGGCATAACCAGTCAAATCACTTGATGGGCAAAATACAATTTCCCACACAGGTTGTAAGAAACGTGCAGCTCCTCCACGCCTCTGAACCATGGAGGTAGTGTAAGTGAAAAAAGTTAAGGTCCTATAAACTAAATGGGGGGAAGGTCTCTTGTCTATCCTGCAGATCATGGACCTATTCTTGGGTATACCATGACCTTGGGATGCTGAGACCGGACAGCGCCCATGGAGCCACTAAGGCCCAGGGCCTGCCAGGGCTAAGGCTCCCAGCGGTAGCAGATACTAAGGCGGGGGCGCTTCCCCGTGCAAGGAAGCCCTCCTAACGCTTTACATTTGGGAAACTGAGGCCCAGGTAGACAGCGGCTTGCCCTGTCGGAATGGGAATGCAAGCCACCCAAGTGCAGCCCTGGAGCCTAGGGTCCCCTCCCGCTGACCTCGCTTGAGAACCTTCTTCCTGGCCTCCTTGTCGGTCACCAGCGGCGCGAGGGTACGCCTGACGTCCTCGGAGAAGGGGTTCGGGGAGCTGCCTGCGGACAGGCGCAGGTGCCCTTTGCGGAAGACCGCCAGCAGCAGCAGGGCCAGCAGCGGCAGCAGCGAAAGCCACATGGCGCCGGCGGGGTCCGAGGACTGGGTTCGCAGCCTCCGCACCCAGCCTCTGCGTCCGGGACTCTGCCACGCCTCTGTGTCCTTCTGGGCTGGGCGGGGAGACGGGGATTGGGAGGAGGCGGAGGCAGCCTCGACCACTGATAAGCCAGACCTTTCTGGCAGGGAGCTTTGAGTCAGGCGCAGACTGACCCTCCCTGCGGCTCATAAGGCTCTCGCAGTGCCAAGAGTCCTTGGCAGCCGGGAGGTGGGGCGCCTGCGGTGGAGAGGCGGCGCGGGGACGCGGTGCGCACGCGCGGGAAGGCGGGGCCGGCGGCTAGACCCTGACGCGGCGGCGCCGGAGTTCTGGGCCGCGGTCGGCAAACCCCTGGCTCTACGGAGCGAGCGTAGGTTGGAGATGGTCGTCCCGGGCCGAGACGAGGCTGGGAGCTGCAAGCCTGAGAGAGAATCCCGCCCGGGACCCAGGAGACCTGGGTTCTGATCTGCGCTGTGCCGTGGGCTCGCCCACTGACCCGAGGCAAGTTGCTTACCTGTTTTCCGCACCAGCTGCTGAGGAGGTTTCCGTCCGGAATCCACACAGCCCCAGTCTGGCGGGGTACCTTGGTAGAGTGAGATTCCCGCCGAGATCCGCGCGTCACAGCCGGCGAGCACCCGGCCCTGTGTCCCCCAGGTGGCCAGTCGTTTTGCCGGGGGCCGCGGCGTCCGCCTGGGATGGCGTTGCCTTCGGCGGCGCCCCCAAGCCTCTACCTGGGCCCCATGGTACCTGCCCTCCGTGGGGGCTTGGGAGGGGGGGAGTGAGGGGCCGGGGAGCCGCCCAGATACAAGCCTGATGAAAGAATCAGAGAAGGACTGTCAGACCTATTGGGCATTTGTATTTGAAGTTATAGATCCAGTGTCGCGATCTCTGTTCAGAGAGTTGTAGCTCCAACAAGAAGTTACCTCTTAATGTAGCTCCTTGCCTAAAGTGGGTGTACCATACTTAGTTTGGAAAGGACCTGGGGCGCCTGGGCGGCTCAGTCGTTAAGCGTCTGCCTTCAGCTCAGGTCATGATCCCAGGGTTCTGGGGTGGAACCCCACATCAGGCTCCCTGCCCTGCGGGAAGCCTGCTTCTCCTTCTCCCACTCCCCCTGCTTGTGTTCCCTCTCTTGCTGTGTCTCCCTCTGTCAAATAAATAAATAAAATCTTAAAAAAAAAAAAAAAGAAAAAAAGAAAAGGACCCATACTTATGGAAGACCATTTCTTTGGGCCCAGCTATAAAGAATTTGCCTACTGTTGGTGGGAGTGACTTCATAACTTCCATTACTGGCTTATTTGATGGAGTTTTGGAGTTTTGCCCTTTTCTTCTCTGGTACAGATAGTAACTGTCCCTGTTGAAGTCCTCAGAGCTCCAGCCGGAACTGAGGCACTAGCAGGTGTGTACAGCTGCTCATGCTTCTGTGCTGCCTGATTCATGTCATACGCAGAAACAAGAGGCTTCCTGAAATCACTAGTACCATCCCTGCCTGTCACCTTCCCAAGGTTGGCTGTGTGAGTGTTTTGTGATATGGTGTCATGGAGGTTAAGGAGGAGGGAAAGGAAAGGGATGAGGGAAGGGAAAGATGCTGAGGGCCCAGAGGACACAGTGAGAGAGAGCTAGTTCCTCAGGTACCATGACCAGGGAGCACTGTCCTTCCCACTAAATTACAGTGACCCAAATGTCCAGCCCAATAGCCAGGAAGTATTCCCATTCTGGGTGCTAGGAATCAGTGCATTCTAGCGCCTGACAGATTCCAGTTTGTTACTGGCAGCCAATTCTTAGGGAATCCAGGTCATGTTCCCAAGGTCAGGAGCTGACCTCAAAAAGAGGCCACCCTCCTTCCTAAGTTCTCCAAGTCTGAAATGTGATCGTCAGTTCTTTATGGGCTATCTGCTGACTTATGATCCAGATTGTTGTTGTAACAGGCATCCAGGTTGTACAATTCCTGCATGATAAATTACGGGCCTGCCTAGCCCTCTTCCCAAGATGAGCTTGTGGGATGACTGTCTTAGAGTTGGCCAAACTGGCTAAACGACTGCAACATGGGCGATACTGGTGTTCACCGAGGAAGGCTAGACAATGTGTTGCATTTTGATTTTCTGTCACCATAGGTATCAGGCCTAGTATTCCAAGCTCCCAGACCCAACCTGTGTCTGAGACCTAAGCAAAGCCTGAGCACTTCAGCTAAGACCACTTACAGGATGCCACGCATTAGCTTCATCCCTTTGATAAGCTGTTCCCAGATCCCAATGACTTCATTGTCAGAACCAGACCTCACCACTTAACAGTGGTGCTGCTGCCTTCTGGACACTGAGAATCCAGCCCTCAAACTCTATAGCATCCCCTTCTTTCCATCCAGTGGCATGGAAAGTAAGAGGCATTTTTTTTAAAGATTCTATTTATTTATGCAACACACAGAGAGAGTGTGCACAAGCAGGGGGAGAGACAGGCAGAGAGAAGCAGGCTTCCTGCTGAGCAGGGACTCTGATGCAGGGTTTGATCCCAGGACCCTGGGATCATGACCTCAGCCAAAAGCAGATGCTTAGCTGACTGAGCCACCCACGCATCCCAAGAGTTAGGCATTTGACTAAAGCAGCTAATTTATTCAGAAAAAATCCACAGCTGCTTAAAGATTTTTATTTAAGATTCATTTATTTGTTTTGACAGAGCATGTGAGCAGGGGGAGGGGCAGAGGAAGGGAGAGCAGCAGACTCCCCACTAAACACAGAGCCCTACTCTACTGGGGACATGATCTCACGAACCCGAGATCATGACCTGAGCCGAAATCAAGAGTGGTATGCTCAACCTCCTGGGCTACCAGCTGCTCCTGCTTGAAGATTTTTAAAGTCAGGTTTTCAGGGCGCCTGGGCGGTGCAGTGGGTTAAAGCCTCTACCTTCGGGTCCGGTTGTGATCCCAGGGTCCTGGGATCGAGCCCCACAGCGGGTTCTCTGCTCAGCAGGGAGCCTGCTTCCTCCTCTCTCTCTCTGCCTGCCTCTCTGCCTGCTTGTGATCTCTGTCTGTCAAATAAATAAAATCTTAAAAAAAAAAAGTCAGGTTTTCTTAACAGTGGCTTAACTGAATGATGAAACTAGTTTTATTTTGTAATTTTTTTTTTTCTTCAGAGCTGAGACTTCAGAGACTCCAGAGACTTCTTTCAGTACTCACAGAAACCTCTTAGCCTTGGTGATGGCACATGGGGACTGTTTACTTGCTCTTAGTCTGAATGATTGCCAAGAAGGAAGGCAAAGGTAGAGCGGTCGGATCTCTGGCTCCCCCCATACTTCTAATCTCAGACCTTATTAAACTCCTTTTTGAGCCAAGGACAAAGCTCACTTGAACAAATGACTTTGAGTCATGAATGAAAACTCTTGCTCTTTCCACAGTGAGAAAGAATTAAGAGATGGACAGGTAAGCAAGCACTTCTATTTGAGAAAAAAGGTGTTCGTTTGGGATATATTGTTATTAGTAATAACACCCGATATATCAAGAGAATGTAGAACTTTAGAAATGCTTTGGGGAAACCCTCATTATAATGCTCTTTGTTCTTTTAAGAAGAGCTTCTGTTCATTCACCCCTGAGTCAATTGCCTTTGCTAGTAGCGTCTTTTCTTTTCTTTTTAAAAGAGCTTATTTATTTATTTGTGAGAGAGAAAGAGCGTGTGTGCACAGGAGCAGGGAGGGGCAGATGGAGAGGGAGAAGCAGACTCGCCATTGAGCAGGGATCCTGACCCGGGGCTTGATCCCAGGACCATGAAATCATGACCCCAGCCAGAGGCAGCTGCTTAACAGATTGAGCCACACAGGCTCACCCCCACCCACCCTTATTTTTTAAAATTTATTTTTTAAAGTTTTTTAATTTTATTTTTATTTTCAAGTTTATTCATTTAAGTAATCTCTACACCCAGTGTGGGGCTCAAACTCACAACCCCGAGATCAAGAGTCATATGCTTTCTTTGCTTGTAGCTTATTTTCTAAGTAGGTCATGGCATTTTGTTTCAGATTTGTTTGGGTGAGATGAGAATGTCAACAGGGAATCCCCCCAAGCTATTTGTAATTTATCAATTTGGACTGTTTACCTTATTGACCCTTGTCAAACACATGCTTTGGCTTGATTATCCTCGGACTCTGAGTCCCGTGTGATATGTCTTTGTGCGAGCCTGGCAGCTAACCCTCCCTTCCTTACCTTTCTCCCTATCTGGTCCAGAAGTGGTCTTAATGGAGCTTGTGGGACAAAGCCTTTCCTTTGGGAGTCTAGGGAGGTTTTCTTCCCTGTACTAAAGTGAACTGTTCTCCCAGAGAGAAGTCTTTGGCCACTGGAGGGGACTGAATTGGAGATGGAAAGGAAGGATGGAATGAACCCTGAGCACACGGGCCTCTGCAAGGAGTTGTTCAGGATAGTGAATCATCAGAATTTTTGAGAACACATTTGTGCCCAGTAATGTGCTAATGGGTGTCAGAAATAGAAAAAAGAAGTGTAAAAGAACGTTCTTTCACTCAAAGCCACAGGGCCTGATTTAAAGATAGGCTGTGTTGGAGGAAGTGAGAACTCTAGGGCTGTTTGGATTGACTGTGCAGTTTTAGCACACTCACAAAAAAGAAGTGGAGTCACTGGACTTATTATGTACAGATTCCGGAAATGTGGCAGGGGTGAGTGCGTGGAGGGGGCAGTGAGCCAAGGTAGGGACAGTCCTCAGTCCCAGATCATGAGCAAGAAGATAGGGAGTAGGAGAGCAAGCACCCCTATTACTTACAGGGGGAAGGTCACTGGCTTTTCTCAGGCTCAACGCTAAGTGGTTATTTTAAAAAGTGCCCGAGGAAAAGCAAGGCGGGAACTCATAGCAGGAATCCTAAACTCGAGCGCTTATCTAAATGTCTGGGTTCTGGCTGTGAGCAGGGTTGTCATACTCCAAACAGGTAGGAAGCAAATCTGAATAGCCGTTGTCTTGTCACTTAGGCCTGTTGCAGAGGAACGTGTGCTCCCTGGAGAAGGGGAGAGACCCTTGTAGCCCCAGGGTCGGGGGCAGGGGAGGCAGGCCACCTTGAGGAGGTAGAACTGATCTTGAAGGGACAGGAGGACACAGAAAAGGTGGCAGTAGGGGTATCTTCTGGAGGAAAACCACATGACCCAAGGGATGGAGGTGAGAGGAGCTGCAGCAAGTGTGTTCACTGGACTGAAGTGGGAAATACTCGTGAGGAGGCATCAGGAGGCCAGCGACAGAGGAGTCTGCTCAGCTGTTCTGTGTTCGGGCATCCATTCGTGTGTCCCGGTCACAAAGAAATCACAGCTCTGTTTAAGGAGTAGTAGTTGGCAAAAATGTGTAAGAGGGATTAGAGTAACAGGGGCCTTGGGATTCTGGGGCCTTGACATAGCACTGATTTTTTTTTTTGTTATTTTCTTTTCATTTTTTTCCTTTTATTTTTTAAGATTTATTTATTTATTTGTCAGAAAGAGAGAGAAAGTGAGAGCACAAGCAGTGGGAGCAGCAGAGGGAGAAGCATGCTCCCCGCTGAGCCGGGAACTCGCTGGAGGACACTGTACCAGGACCCTGGAATCATGAACTGAGCCGAAGGCAGATGCTTAACCCACTGAGTCACCCAGGCGCCCCTCCTCTTATTTATTCTAGAGAAAATAATACATTCACAATGTTCAGAATCCAAAAAGTAGGGAGCATATACTGTAGTGAGAAACTGCTTTCTCCTCTTGTCCCCCAGCTACCCAGTTTTCTTCTGTAGGCAAAATCACGCTTCCTTGGGTTTAAGTCTGGAAATAGTCTTGGCAGAGACAAGCAAATAGAGTTTTGTGTTTCCTAAAAATATAAATGGTGACACAGTGTATATACTCTGCCCTTTGCTTGTTCCACTTAATGTGGATTCTTCCATGTCGTCCATAAAACACTTTCTTATTCTTCTTTACGGCTAGATTGGAGCTCATTGAGTTGATAGGCTTTCATTTGTGGAATTAGTCCATTAATGGGCATTTGGGTTTTCCTAGCTTTTTGCTATGACAAACAGTGCTACCACAAATGACGCTGTAAGCATGTCCTTTTGCACACAGACGAGTATATCTGTTGGATAAATTCCTAGAATGCAGTTATGGGCCCAAAATGGACAAAACATGTACGATTTGTCAAGTATTGTTAAGCTGTGGAGGTGGGAACAATTTACACTTCGGTGTGTTAAAACACTTGGCTTTCTAGCCAACACAGTGTGTTTTCACACTTTTTGAAATTTGCTCATGTGGTAAGTGACAAATATTATCTCAGACCAGTTTTATATGACATGTCTCTTACTATGAGTAAGGGCGTAAGGTTGAGCATTTTGTGTTTGTTTCAGAGCAGTGCGAGTTTCCTCTTCTGTAAACTCCATATCCATGCCCATTTTTCTACTGGGTTGGGTTTCTTTTCCTAACTGATTTATAGGATTTTATTCAACATATTGGGAAAATTCGTTCTGTATTTGATAATCTGAGTTGCAGAAGTTGGTCAAGTGGTTTTGTTTTGTTTGTTTTTTTGAAGTTGGCCAAGTGGTTTTTTTTTTTTTAAAGATTTTATTTATTTATTTGACAGAGAGAGATCACAAGTAGGCAGAGAGGCAGGCAGAGAGAGAGGGGGAAGCAGGCTCCCCACTGAGCAGAGAGCCCGATGCCAGGCTTGATCCCAGGACCCTGAGATCATGACCCGAACCGAAGGCAGAGGCTTTAACCCACTGAGCCACCCAGGCACCCTGGTCAGGTGGTTTTTTAAAGCTCTACTGGGCAAAGGTTTAGCTGAACAAAAAGGCCAAAAGTAAGGAAACTGCTTCACTAAACTCAGGATCCTGAGACCTTTCACAGAGCCAAGAAATCTGCTATAACATTAAGCCTTTTGTAGTTTTTCTTAAGACGAGGTTATGCAGAAGTTTTCCCTTCCAGGATTCCTTACAGTTGAGTTCTCAGGAGTTGATCTGTCTTTGTGTGGGTGGTATTGGGAAAAGGTGTGACATTTAAGCTGTCAGCTTCAGAGGACTGATACGTTCCCAAGAAGCTGACCCTTCTTTGTCTTACAGGTTGAAAGTGTGTGTGCTGCGTATCCTTCACCATATGACAAGGACACCGGTGTTCTTCGGGCTCTCAGAGGAATTCCTGTATGTGTCACCCACACCCCAGGACTTCCCGCCCATACCAGCTTTTTTTGCATGCTGCTCTGTGGGGCCAGATACCAGGGACTCAGGACAGCAGAGACCCCAATCACACTTGGGGGTGGAGTTGTGGGCCACAAACATGCAAAACAACCTCTAGCTAGTAAGATAATTGCTCCAGGGAAGCAGAATGTAAAGTGCAGTGGGAATACCAAAAGCACCTCACAGTCTCAATTGAGTTGTGTGAATTTTTGTTTATTCTTTAAGGAGAGCATATGCTTGTCTCCAGGTCACGCAACTTGTACATCAGAGTTGGAGTTTTCCATGTGTCTTTCTTTAAGATTGGCTTTAATCAAGCCATCCTTCTGACCTCTAGTTCCAAGGACATTCTGTACCGTGGGTTGGGTACGTTTGTGTGCGTGGGAGGATACAGACTCACTCTCACACCGAAGGTCATCTGCCTCTGCAGATCTCAGAGTTGAAGAACCATGGCATCCTCCGGGCCCTGACAGCAGAAGCCAACGGATGGCAGCCAGGTGGTAAGGTCCCCTTCAGGGCCCTTGGAGCCTGGGTGGGGCCCAAGTCAGAGCTCCCCATGGTCTGCTTTTCATCATTGGAATTTCTCTCACTACATGTCCTATAGAATTTGACAAATTTATCATTCTTCAAGGAAAATTAGAATCAACACTGGATTAGAAGTCAAAAGATTCGAGTCCTGATTTAGCGCTGCAAGCAGCTTATTATGTGCCTTGGACAAATCAGATGTCTGCCGTGAAGACATCAGTGCCTTCTCTGTCCCCAGAGAGATATTGTAACAATGAAATGAGAGTGTATGTGAAGAGGCTTTGAAAAAGTATCCTATTTTATCTACTTTACATGATTCTTTCATATACTCTATTTAAAGTTCATTTCACTTGCTGATTTATGACACAGAAAGGTCCACTCACTAAGTGAGAAATAACCAGTTCTGGGGTCCCACATCTCTGGTTTAAGTCCTGCCTCTCTCACCCACCAACTATAGGACCCTGAGCAAGTTTCTTAACCTTCTAACCTTTACTGCACTTAGTTCATCTATAAAACAAATTGGTCAGAACCTGAGTGATGGGAATTGCATAAGGATTACATGAGCTAAGGTGAAGTACGTAGTGCACAGACTATTAATCTGTAGTGATACCCGTGCTATGTATTATTATCTTGAAGTTCTATAAACTGAAAATGTAATCTCTATGAATATGGGTTTGTAGAAAAGTTATCTGGAGATCTATGAAGTTTCTTCTTAAATCTTTTTTTAAATTAATTAATTTATTTATTTGACAGAAAGAGACACAGCGAGAGAGGGAACACAAGCAGGGGGAGTGGGAGGGGGAGAAGCAGGCTTCCCGCCTAGCAGAGAGCCCGATGTGGGGCCCGATCTCAGGATTCTGGGATCATGACCTGAGCCGAAGATAGACACTTAATATCTGAGCCACCCAGGTGCCCCATATGAAGTTTCTTCTAATAAAATTTTATTTTTGCTGTGTAGTGACAAACCTAACATTTATTAGAGATTTTGCCTTAAATGCCAAAATATTTTATATTTCAGTACAAGTAGCATTTGTGTATCAGGTATTTTTTAAAGATTTTTTACTTATTTGAGAGAGAGAGAGCGTGTGCACGAGCAAGCATGGTGAATGGGCACGGGGAGGAGAGTCTCTAGTAGACTCTAAGATAAGCACTTACTGAGCCCATGCAGAACTTGGTCTCACAACCCTGAGAGCACGACCTGAGCTGAAGTCAGACTCGAGGCTCCCCTGTCCCACATATTTTTAGTTGTATTAAACAGCAGTCTTCGAGGCACCTGGGTGGCTCAGTCGTTAAGCATCTGCCTTCGGCTTGGGTCATGATCCTAGAGTCCTGGGATCAGACCCCCTTGTTGGACTCCCTGCTCAGAGGGGAGCCTGCTTTTCCCTCTCTCCCTCCACCACTCCCCCTGCTTGTGTTTTCTCACTGTCAAATGGATAAATAAAATCTTAAAAAAAAAAAAAAATGCAGTTTTCTTCCAGATTGCTCTCAGCTCATTTAAATTGATAGGCTTATGAGGCACCTGGCTGGCTTAATTGGTGGAGCATACAACTCTTGATCTTAGGTTGGGAGTTCGAGCACCATGTTGGAGATTACTTCAAAAAAATAAATCTTTAAAATGGTCACCTGGGTGGCTTGGTCAGTTAATCACCTGCCTTTGGCTCAGGTCAGGATCTCAGGGTCCTGGGATCGAGCCCTGTGCCAGGTTCCTGGCTCAACGGGGAGTCTGCTTCTCTCTCTGCATCTCTCCCCACCACCACTTGAGGTCTCCCCCCCCCTCAAATAAGTAAATAAAATCTTTAAAAATTAAAAAAAGATGGGGCTCCTGGGTGGCACAGTAGGTTGAGCGTTGGACTCTTGGTTTCCAGTCAGGTTGTGATCTCAGGGTCATGAGATCTGGCCCACGTTGGGCTCTGTGCTCTGTACAGAGGTCTGCTTAAGACTGTCTTTCCCTCTCCCCCCAAAATAAATAAATGTTTAAAAATAAAATAAATAGGTAGGTAGGTAGGTAGGTAGATAGATGGAGAGGCTTGCTAACTCAGGATACTGTTTCCTGTATGGATAAGTAGAAGAGAGCCCAAATCAAGAAGGCAGTTGAAAAAGGAAGAAAAGTAGAGAACTGTGCTGATGTCAGCTGCATTCGCTATCCTGAAGATTCATGTTTTGCCTCCATTTTTTTCTGTTGGGGGAAATTAGTATTTATGTTAGGATCATCTTCAGATGAAGAAGAGTCTCCCTGGTTCCAAGAGGGAAGGGAAGAGATGCTCTTGCTATGCCTTGGACATTTGTCTCCAGTTTTTAGACACTAGATTGCAACTCCTTGTTGAGACCTTGCACTTTCTGTCAACTAACCCACAGTTACAGCAGATTCCCCGGTGCTGGTGAGGTTTCTGCTCTGAGCTCACAGCCTTCTGCCAAGTTGTTTGTAGGTGAAAGGTTGAAGGGCATCTGGCTGGCTCAGTCAGTTAAGTGGCCAGCTCTTGATTTTGGCCTAGGTCATGATCTCAGGGTCATGAGATGGAGCCCCTCTTCGGGCTTTGCACTCAGTGGGGCGTCTGCTTGAAATTCCTCTCTCTCCCCCTCTGCTTCTCCCCCTGCTCGGGCTGTCATTCTTTCTCTCTAATAAACAAGTAAATCTTTAATAAATAAAAGAGGGGCACTTGAGTGGCTCATTTGGTTAGACATCTGACTTCAGCTCAGGTCATAATCTCAGGGTCCTGGGATCAAGTCCTGCAAGGGACTCTGCTCAGCAGGAAGCCTGCTTCTCTCTCTCTCTCTCTCTCTCTCTCCCCCTCTCCCTCTGCCCCTCCCCCCACTCATGCTCTCTCTCTCTCAAATAAATAAAATCTTAAAAAAAAAAAATTTGACCAAGTTGCTTGAAACGAAGATGTGCAGGGTGAAGAGTCTATGAAGCCAGGCGCCAGCGAGGGTGAGGGGTGATGCAGCCCTTGTCAGCACCCTCACCAGCAGTCCCTGCTGCTGCCCCTCTTTTTTTTTTTGTTTTTGTTTTTGTTTTTGTTTTTTGTTCAGCTGCTTTCTCCCTCCTTTTCATCATCCAGGGTCCAGTATGCTGGAAGGAAATTTTATTTTCTTCATATAGTTTGTATTCTGATGAAGTTACCTACCTTGGAAGCCCCGAGGCTCAGGGTCTCGGTCCACCCCAGGTTGGGGCTTGCATGACTGAATTCAGAAGTCCAGACCCATGTCACCCACTGCCACTAGCCCCTGCGCTGCTGGACCTGAATCCAGGCTGGTGTCAGTGACACGAGCTAACACGTCCTGAGTACTGACCTTTGCGTCGTATACCCGCTCCCCCACCCCTGGAAGCTGAAGAGTTGCACCATCCTCCAGCAGGTCCAGGAGTGATGGCCGGGGGTTAAGTACTTGTCCACAGAAGTGCAGCCGGGGAGCGCGGACAGGAAGTGCTTGCCAGCAGTCTGGCTCTGGAACTGCTCTCAGCAGCAGCCCTTTAGGGCTTCCCAGCAGCTTTCTCTGCCTCCATTTCTGTTAGTGTTTTGAGTTTCTGGGAGTATTTTATTTTATTTTCAAGTATACTTTGGAAACAGTTCCTTGCCCTGTGATATCCTCCTTCAAGACGGCATGGCCAAGAGGAGCTGCCCTCTCACTCTTACCATTGGGGCTGGTGGCTGAAGGGGTCACGATTTGGGGCCTTGGACTGAAGGGTTTCCGTTTTCTCCATGTTGTATTGACTTCCTGTCTAGCAAATGGGGAAAGCCACAACAGGACGCACGCCAGCAGTCTGGGTTAGAGTGACCGTTGCGTTTTGGAGAAAGGGCTATGCAGTGACTACAGAGAACCTGTTTTGCTGCTTTTTCTCTCCTGCTTTCCGCCCCATTCCCGGTGCTTTTATTCATTCAGCAGACATTTGTTGAACTCCTGTCCTGTGCAGGGCACTGCCCTGGGTTCTGGAAAATGCTGTCCTCGTGTAGCGCCCCGTGTGGTGGGAGAGACCGTCACCACACTGAGGAGCCTGGGTGTCAGAGGCTCGAAGAGGCTCACGGGCTCCCTCTGCAGACTTAATGGAGTCAGGCCAGGCAGCTGGCTGAGGGAGATGTCAGAGCTCACTGAGGGTTGAGGAGGAACAACAAACAGCACAGGGGTTGGGACCTGGGGTGCAGGTGCCTGGGGTGACTGCATGGGGAGAGCCTCTGAGCAAGGGCACTGAAGGTGGGAGGGGCTGAGGAAGTTGGGGAGTTCTGGATACTCTTAGCGCACAGCTGTGGGTAGAAGAAATATCCAAATGGTGGAAGTATTTAGATGCTGTGCTGAAGAGTTTGGGTTTTATCTAGAGAGTCATGATGGAGAACCCCTGGAGGTTTTCAAGCAGGGGGTTGACATCAGATCTGCCTTTTCAAACGCTCACTCTGGCCCCCGTGTGGAGAGGGTATCTGAGGGCACTGGGACCCAAGGTAGACGGACAAGGCTGAGGCTGCAGCAGCTATCCAGACTTCCCCAGGTCTCAAAGGGTCTCCTTTTCTCTTGACTGCAGTTGTGAATGCAGAGGTGCTCAGAGCCCAAGAAGAATGGGAAGCTGTGGACAACATCCAGACAGAGCCAGGTAACCGCAGGAATGGCGTTCCACTGCTAATGAAGGCCCCATCCACGTGTGGCTAGCGTTTCTGTGGCCCTGGGGTTAGGACACAGAATTCCTGAGAGTTCCCATTTTAGCTCCCTGACTCAGGATACAATACCTTTCTAATCCAAAGATCATGACATTCCACCTCTGGAGGAAATGGGGAGTGAATGCCACGGGAAAAGGGCTGCCATCTACTCAGACCTGAGAGAAGACTGAGAGTACCTTGGTCAGGGTCGCTTCTGCAGGGTGATGAGGTTGGACAGAAGGATGGAGGCAGGCAGCCAGGGTCCCGGCCCAAGGGTGAGCGGGTTGTTCACTATACAAGGAGGTCTCTGGAGATAGGGACTAAAGCCATCTGCTGGAAGGCTTTGAGGGCTGGGTAAAAATTGTTTCACTTCGTGTTCTGACAGGTTTGGATGGAGCTGCAGGAGGGTAGAGCTTGGACCCATATGTAGCTCGAGCTATACCTGGGCTCCTAGAAAATCGTTACAGTGGACTGTGTCAGTCATCCCCGACATTGCTAACAGATACATTCATTCCCTGTGGACTGTACCAGAGGCTGGAGAGGGGGTCATTCATATACAGGGTGTGAGAAAGGGCAAGGTGGAAGAGAGGAAAGTTCCCGAAACAGACCTTGGCATGCTCCTCTATGGGTACCTACTCCGAGCAGTGACTTGCCTCCTCACAGATGAGTGGACTGGGACCCCCAGCAGGGCAGATCTGTCCCTACTCACTGCAGAGGTCAGTCTAGCAAGCTCCCAAACAGCCTGGTCTAAGAAGGGACCTGGCCCAGCAGAGAATGCCAGCCCCTTAACAGAAGATCGGTTTTAGCTGTAGTTATCTGATGTCTGCCCCTGAAAGCCAGTGTTTGGCTTAGAGGTGATGATCAGAAGGCCCCCAGTGAACGTGCGCAGACATAATGACTACCATTATAAATCTGAGAGTGTCTTCCCTTTTGCCACAGGGAGCCAGGCCAGTGTAGACCAGCCTGGGCAGCTGATCTCCTTCAGTGAGGCTCTGCAGCATTTCCAGACTGTGGACCTCTCTTCCTTTAAGGTATGAAAGTAGGGAGTTTGGGGTCTCAGGCAAAGCATCTTCCCAGGAGCCAGGTTTCTATCCCACCAACCTAGGGCACTGGGCAAGCAAGATGGAAACTTCCAGCTGAGGACCCTACCTCACCTAAGAAATCTTGGAGCACAGAATCAGGGGTGGCCAAGGACCCAAGCTTCATGCAGGACCCCAGTGGCCTTTTTGGGACTGTGTGCCCAGAGCTCTTGTGGCCCTGCTGTACACAGGTCTATGTAGCTGCTCTGCTCTTCCCTCTTAGGGATGGGGAGGTCTAGAATCAAATGTTAGATAGTTCCTTAGGGAAGCAAGGCATGCCATCTAGAAAGCTGAGTAATTCATGACTATTGTAGGAAAATCTATCATTCCCTGAACGTATCAGGGAGCTAGAAGTTATTTGGGAATTTTAAAAATATGTGGGGTTGGAAAAAGAAACATTGAGGAAAATAAAAGCTAATGGGCTTTCTGGGACATCTTGAGTGACTAAGAGTAGTTTTAGAAGATTGTGATTTCAGGGGCACCTGAGTGGGCTCAGTGGGTTAAAGCCTCTGCCTTCCGCTCAGGTCATGATCCCGGGGTCCTGGGATCGAGCCCTGCGTCGGGCTCTCTGCAGGGAGCCTGCTTCCCTTCCTCTCTCTCTGCCTGCCTCTCTGTCTGATTGTGATCTCTGTCTGTCGGGTAAATAAAATCTTAAAAAAGAAAAAAAAAAAGATTGTGATTTCAGGGGCACCTGGATGGCTCAGTTGGTTAAGTGTCTGCCTTCAGCTCAGGTCGTGATTCCAGAGTCCTGGGATCAAGTCCTGCATGGGGCTCCTTGCTCAGAGGGGAGTCTGCCTCTCCCTCTCCTTCCCGCTCATGCTCTCTCTATCTCTGTTTCTCTCAAATAAATAAATAAATAAAATGTTTTAAAAAAGAAGAAGATTCTGGTTTCAGATCTTCAACCTAAAACCTCAGAGTTTCAAGAGAGGCTGAAAAGTCAAGAATCATTGGTTCATGGGTTGCAGAGGGTCAGAAGCTACCAAAATCAGAATATTCTAAGAATATTCTAAGGCCTACGGCAGTGGCCCTTGAGCAATAAGTCAGCATGACCTGATTTAGGAGATGCCCCTGTGGAATGGACAGAATGCTCCAGCAATCCCTTAGGTGTCCAGCTCCAAAAGTCCCCACTCAACTCCCCTCCTCACTGGCTCCCTCGTCCTGGAAGTTGAGAGGACTGCTAGGCTGTGTAATTTATGCCCTTTTCAGAAAGGGATGGACCTATAGAAGGTAAAGCAGCCCTGCTGGGAAGCCTGGCCTGGCTTGGTCAGACCAAAGCGGGGTCCCCATGCCAGCTATCTCTGGCCATCAATGGAATAGTAGCTCTAGACAAAACCAAAGGAACAAATGCAGACAATGGGCTAATAATGCCTATACTTGGGGACATTTTTTTTCTTTTACTTCTCTTTTCTTTAAAATTTTATTTATTTATTAGAGAGCAGGAGCAAGGTGAGGGACAAAGGAAGAGGGAGAAGCAGGCTCCCCGCTGAGTAGGGAGCCAGACACAGGGCTCCATCTCGGGATCCCAAGATCATGACCTGTTCTACAAGAACAGTCCCTGTACCGGTCCTGATGGTAAGTTAGAGCAGGTGAACCCAGCCCTTTGCTCATTGCCTGCAACTTCCTCCCCAGAAAAGAATCCAGCCAACTATTCGAAGGACGGGGCTCGCTGCCATCCGGCACTGCCTCTTTGGGCCTCCAAAACTCCACCAGGGCCTCCGAGAAGAAAGGGACTTAGTCCTGACCATTGCTCAGTGTGAGTGCACGGGTGCTGCCACGAGCGGGGGCTGCATATGTGGTCAAGCAGAGAGCACTGTTTGTACACCTGTTGCTGAGGTCTTGCATGCACGATGTTGGCGGGGAGAGCGGGAGCTGTGGGGTGAAAACGTGGGAGAACACAGTCTCTTGGTACAGTCCAGCTTGATCTTATCTGAACCATTCTCTGAGAAATAGTCCTCTCCTGAGGGGCGGGCAGTCCGACAAAGACTCAGGGTGTGTTTTCGGGCAGGTGGCCTGGATAGTCAGGACCCAATGCATGGCCGAGTCCTCCAAACCATCTACAAGAAGCTGACTGGCTCCAAGTTTGACTGCGCCCTCCACGGAGACCACTGGGAAGATCTGGGCTTTCAGGGTAAGAGACAGGAATGGTTCATCTTCTTTTCCTTGACCCCTGAATCCAGAACTAGAGTGAGAGCCCAGATAGTCCCCTTCCTGTCATGCCAGTGCCCTGAGGCAGGGTATCTGGGGGAAGAGGGTGCAGGAATGCAAAGGCCCGAGGTGAGTATGTTTACCACGCTTGAGAAATAGTAAGAAGTGTGGCTGAAGTGGAAAGGTTCCTTGTGGTCTAACAGGCCATTGTCAGACATTTACTCTAAGAGAGATGGAAAGCATCAAAGTGTTGGATTTGCAATCTGGTTTCTTCTTTTTCCTCTTTCCTTTTAACGCAGATGAAAATTTTGCTTTATACTATTTTATTTTTTGAGTGAAACAAATTGATTTCAGCTGTTTTTTGGATTATGCTACTCTTTTTTGAAAATCATATCAAGTTACATTTATATGGAATAGGAAAATGTCCTCATTTATTTTTTTTTAATAAGGCTCCAGCTTGCCTTTCTTTTCTTTTTTTTTTTTTTTTTTAAGATTTATTTATTTATTTGACAGAGATCACAAGTAGGCAGAAAGGCAGGCAGGGCTGGGGGGAAGCAGGCTCCCCGCTGAGCAGAGAGCACGATGCAGGGCTTGATCCCAGGACCCTGGGATCATGACCTGAGCCAAAAGCAGAGGCTTTAACCCACTGAGCCACCCAGGTGCCCCAGAAAATGTCCTCACTTAAAAAGGAAATTTTATGTACCCATAATTAATTGGTCTGTTGGTATTGACACGTTAAAATCCCTCTATCTTCCCTCATCTATAACACAATTATATTATTTCCCTCCATATGCAATGAGAATCATGTCAGTGTTACAGTTTTTATTTCAACCATCAAACAATTTAGAAAACTCAAGAGGAGGAGCTAAGTCTGCTGTATTTCCCCAGATGCTTACTCTTTCCACCGCTCTGTTTTTGTTTTTAGATATTCCAAGATTTCTTCTTTTATCATTTCCTTTCATTTTGAAGAACTTCCTTTAACCATTTTCTAAAGGAGGTCTGCTGGTGATAAATTCTCTTAGTTTCCCTTCCTCTGAGAATGTCTTGATTGCCCCTTCACTCCTCGAGGATCGTTTCTCTGGACAAAGAATTCCAGGCTGACAATTCTTTTCTTGTAGCACTTGTACACTGTGCTTCTTGCTTCTGGCCTCCATGAGAAAGCTACTGTCGTTTGAATTCTTTCTCCCTGCGAGGTAAGGAGTTGTTTCTCTCTGCTTTCAAGATCTTTTCGAGTTTGCAGGAGTTTATGTTGTGTCTTAGTGTGGATTTCTTTGGGCTTTTACCCTATTGGGTTTGCTCAGCTTCTTGAACCTATAGGTTTATGTCTTTTGCCAAATATGGTCCATTTTCAGCCATTATTACTTCAAGTACCTTTTTTCCTTAATTTCAGTGAAGCTCACATACAATGTTACATTAGTTCCAGGCGAATAATACAGTGATCCGACAATTCCGTGCAACACCTAGTACTCGTCAAGATAAGTGTACTGTCAGCCCTTCACCTACTCACCCATCCCTTACCCGCCTGCGCTCTGGTAACCATCTGTTCTCTACAGTTAAGAATCTGTTCTTCTGTTTGCCTCTTTCTTTTTTTTTTCCCTTTGTTCATTTGTTTTCTTTCTTAAATTCCACATGAATGAATACTTCCAAGTACTTTTCTCAGCCCCATACTTTCTCTTCTCTTGTGGGACCCTGATGACACAGGTGCTAGTTCTTCTGTGCTGTTCATTCCTTTGGATCTCTGTTCTGTAACTCACAGATCTCCAAGGCTCTGCTCATTTTGTTTTGTTTTGTTTTGCTTTGCTTTGTTTCTCTCTGATGTTCATCAGACTGGATAATTTCAATTGTTCCATCTTTAATTTCACCAATTCTTTCCTCTGTTCTCTCTATTCTGCTGTTGAGCCCATCAAGTGAGATTTTAATTTTAAAGATTTTTATTTATTTATTTATTTGACAGAGAGATCACAAGTAGGCAGAGAGGCAGGCAGAGAGAGAGAGGAAGGGAAGCAGGCTCCCTGCTGAGCAGAGAGCCCAATGTGGGGCTCGATTCCAGGACCTGAGATCATGACCTGAGCCAAAGGCAGAGACTCTAACCCACTGAGCCACCTAGGCGCCCCTGAGTTTTTAATTTTAGTTATATTTTTCAGTTGTAAGGTTTTTTTGTTTGGTTCTTCATACCTAATAATTCTTTACTGAGACTTTCTACTTTTTAAATTTTTTTCAAACTGTGTAATTATTTATTAAAGGCATTTTTGTGATAACTGCTATAGTAGTTTTCTATTGTTGCTGTAACAAATTACCACAAATTTAGTAGCTTGAAACTACATAAACTTATTAAAATTAATTAATTTATTTAAATACTCTCTACACCCAGCATGGGGCTCAAGCTCACAACTCCGAGATCACGAGTCCCACGCTCTTCCTGTGGAGCCAGCCAGCCCCTCACCACACAAACTTAATACCTTATAGCTCTGTAGCTCAGGAGTCTGAAACAGGTCTCACTGGGGTAAGACCGTTGTGGCTGCAAGGCTGCATTCCTTTCTGGAGACTCTAGGAAAGACTCCGTTTCCTGGCCTTTTCCACCTTCTTTTTTTTTTTTTTTTTTTTTTAAGATTTTATTTATTTATTTGACAGAGATCACAAGTAGACAGAGAGGCAGGCAGAAAGAGAGAGAGAGAGGGAAGCAGGCCCCCTGCTGAGCAGAGAGCCCGATGCGGGACTCGATCCCAGGACCCTGAGATCATGACCTGAGCCGAAGGCAGCGGCTTAACCCACTGAGCCACCCAGGCGCCCCCCTTTTCCACCTTCTATAGGCCACCTCTGTTCCTCCTTCTTCACAGCCAGGAACTTAGCATCTCCCTGAGCCTGGTTCTCTCCTCACATCTCTTTCCCTGATTCTGTGCTTCTGCCTCCTTCTCTCACTTTTAAGGACTTTTCTGATTACATTGGGACCACCCGGAGAATCCAGGATGATCTCCCTATCTGCTGATCTGCAACCTTAATTCTGCCTATGATCTTAGTTTCCCCTTGCCATGCAACAAAATATACTCCTGGGTTCTAGGCATTCAGGCAAGGATGTCTTTGGAGGGACCATTATTTTGCCTGTAACTGCTGCTTTAAAATCCTTGTCAGGTAATTCCAACAGCTATGTTATCTCAGTGTTGCTATCTATTAAGTATCTTTCTCATTCAAATTAAGATTTTCCTAGTTCTTAATGTAACAAGTGATTTTTTTTTTATTGTATCCTGGATATTTGGGGTATTATATAATGACACTCTGGATCTGCTGTAAATCTTTTATTTTAGCAGGCTTCTTCTGACACTGAGCCAGTGGGGGAAGGAGGATGGCACTCGTTACTGCGGGGCAGGGGTAGAAATTTAGGTACCCCATTTGGGCTCTGCTGGTTCCACTGGCTAAGACGGGCACAGGTGCTTCATTACATGACTCATTACAGGAGTCCTGTGTGGACTCCACTGATGACACAAAGGTATGGGGCTCAGTCTCAGCTCCCCAGTTTGCTGACACTACCCTAGTGAAGCTAAAGGGCACCTTGTTACAGTCAGGCAGGAGTGGGAGTCCAGGCTCCCCACTTGGCCTAACAAAGGTAGCCAAGCCCTTGAAGCTCAAGGGAGGAGGGACTTCATTTGGCATTGGGTCGCCCTTCAGTTCCTCCTCTCGGTTACAGGAGCGAATCCAGCCACAGACCTGAGAGGAGCAGGCTTCCTTGCCCTCCTACACCTGCTGTACCTGGTGATGGACTCCAACACCTTGCTGATGGCCCAGGAGATTTTCCGCCTATCTCGTCACCATATCCAGGTGGGGCTTTGCTGGGCAGCTAGAGAAGAGGGCTGTGGAGCCATTGTTGGTACAGAATGCTCTTGAACAACCAGGAGAACCTCACGGGGGTGGGGGGGGCTGTCTCTAGTTGCTCAGGGCTCTCAGGACAACTGACGCAGCCAGGACCAGGTTTCCCCCACTAGCCTGACCTGTGCTAGAATCTGAGCTCCACCACTCAGTGTGTGTCTCAGGCAAGTGCTTCCAACTCCTCAAAGCCTTGGTTTTTTTCATCTGTAGAATGGAAATCAGGGACACTTCAGCTGGACAATTAGAAAGATTAAATGAGATGTGTAGCAGAGCACTAGGCACAGCTGTGATGTTAATGTGTCAACTCACTGTCATCCCTAAGGACATCCCTTGAGCAGCAGTAGGTTCTCAACCCTGAAGAAGGAGAGTCAGCTTATTTGTGCCCCAGAGGAGGAGATCTACCTATGAGGGGCAAGGGACACATGGTCTTACTGACAGACCAGATGTGGCTTCTGTAGCCTTCGGTCTGTCCAAGCCTTCTCTAGGGTTGGGTTTAATGGTTTTCCCAGGTAGTAAAAGGTGATAGTCCCACCATTTTAGAAAACAAATCTGACCTGTTCCCTGCCATTCACCTATGCCACATTCATGGGACCTGGAATTCATCCAGTAAATAAACTTCTCTTCAGTCTTCCCTATGCTTGTTACTGTGCTTAGTGCTTGGGACACATCCGTGAACAAAGATCCTTCTAGCAGAGATGACAGGGCAGCGAGCCCAACACATAAATAAATAATAGACTATGTTCAAAGGTGGCAAGCACTAAGGAGAAAAAACAAGTAGGTTAGGAAAATATGGGGAGTACTTTTTTTAAAGATTTCATTTATTTATTTGAGAGAGAGCACAAGCAGGGGGAGCAGCAGACAGAGGGAGAGGGAGAGCAGGCTCCCTGCTGAACCGGGAGTGCCACACAGGACTGAATCCCAGGGTCCTGGGATCATGACCTGAGCCGAAGGCAGATGCTTAACTGACTAAGCCACCCAGGCACCTCTGTGGGGAGTATTTTATAGGGTGCTCAGGCTAACTCTCACTAGAGGGTGGGAATTAAACCAGACCTTGAAGGAGGTGAAGGTGTTGGCCCAGTTGGTGTTTGGGGGAGAACATTCCACGCAGAGGGAGCACTAGAGCAAAGCTCCTGAGGAAGGATCATGTCTGGCACGTGAAGGGGTAGCAAGCAACCAGCTGGAACAGAAGGAGCCCAGGAGAGCAGTTGGAAGGGAGGTCCTACGGCGAACAGATGGCAGAGGGCCTGGTAGGCTGTGGTAAGGACTTTCAATTTTACTCCGAATAAAGTGAGGGTTTTCGCAGCCTGGAATACGTGATCCAATCTAACTTTTTAAATATATCCTATCAGCTGCTAGGTTGAGAATAGTCTATAGTGAGGGCTTTTATAATCAAGTCCAAGATGATGGGTATTTTCAGAGGAGGTGGTGTGAAGTGGTCAGATTCTGGATGTATAATTTTTTTTTTAAGATTTTATTTATTTATTTGACAAGGAGAGATCACAAGTAGGCAGAAAGAGAGGGGAGGAAGCAGGCTCCCCGCTGAGCAGAGAGCCCGATGCGGGCTCAATCCCAGGACCCCAAGATCATGACCTGAGCCGAAGGCAGAGGCTTAACCCACTGAGCCACCCAGGCACCCCTGGATGTAGAATCTTGAGCTCACGGGCTTAAGAAAGTAGAGCCAAGGGGTGCCTGGGTGGCTCAGTGGGTTAAGCGTCTGCCTTCGGCTCAGGTCGTGATCTCAGGGTCCTGGGATCCAGCCCCGCATCGGGCTCTCTGCTCAGCGGGAAGCCTGCTTCTCCCTCTCTCTTTGCCTGCCTCTCTGCCTACTTGTGATCTCTCTCTCTCTGGCAAATAAATAAATAAAATTAAAAAAAAAAAAAGAGCCAAGTGGGATACCTGGCTGGCTCACTTGGAAGAACATGTGACTCTTGATCTTGGGGTCGTGAACTCAAACCCACCTTGGGGGTAGAGTTTACTTAAGAAAGAAAGAAAGAAGGAAGGAAAGCAAGCAAGCAAGCAAGCATAGCCAGCGTATTTTTCTTATGCAATGAGAATCATGTCAGTGTTACAATTTTTGTTTCAACCATCAAACAATTTAGAAAACTCAAGAGGAGGAGCTAAGTCTGCTGTATTTCCCCAGATGCTTACTCTTTCCACTGCTCTGTTTTTGTTTTTAGATATTCCAAGATTTCTTCTTTTATCATTTCCTTTCATTTTGAAAAACTTCCTTTAACCATTTTCTAAAGGAGGTCTGCTGGTGATAAATTCTCTTAGTTTCCCTTCCTCTGAGAATGTCTTGATTGCCCCTTCACTCCTCGAGGATCGCTTCTCTGGACAGAGAATTTATTTATTTATTTATTTGAGAGAGAGAGAGAGCATAAGCATGAATGGCGGGGAGGGACAGAGGAGGGAGAGAGCGAGAAGCAGACTCCCCACTGAGCACAAAGCCCTGTGTGGGGCTTGATCCCAGAACCCTGAGATCATGACCAGAGCTGAAGTCAGACACTTACCCAACTGAGCCACCCAGGCGCCCCCAGACCCTCATTTTAGATGGAGGCCCAGAGAAGGGAAATGACTTGCCAAAGGTCCCACAACTAATCAGTATTTCCTATAGGTCATCTCTGACCTCAGTGTCTCCCTTCTTATGACTCATGAAGGCTCTCTTGTAAGAGCTTCCTGCAGAAATGTGGAAATACGGAAGCCAGGATAGAGGGTTTTTGCCAACTCAGAATTCCTCAGTTGAATGAGGGGAGGGAGCAGGCCATTCAGATATCTGTGGGAGGAGCATCGCAGACAGAGGGAGCAACAGGATGAGAGGGGAAATGCTGGGAACTTGATCGGCAGGGATGGGCAGGGACCCAGACTGACCAGTTTGACCAGTGTGTTTCTCATCCCTTCACCTGCTGGCATCTGGGATTTACTGGGGATTTATGTTTACTCCTCCACAATATGCCTGTCGGACAGTAAGAAGGAATTGCAGCTTAACCTAATAAGACAAGAGGGCTGGTGCAGACTTCGGGAAGCTAGACGCTCATTCTATCTGTGGTATTATTATGGAGCTGATTTGAGACAAATCACTTCACCTCTCTGGGCCTTAGTCTGGCCTAAAAAATTCCAAGGTCCCTTCCAGATTTATTGTATAATTCCTTGAACTATAAGCAATTCCGAGGTTTTAAAGTAAAACTTGACCTCAAGCCCTTATGAATCTTGAAAACACCATTTTCCAGGAGGCACAGTGAGATCAGAGGAGCAGTTGGGGACACAGCCCTGCCCATAACCAGTCCTGTTCTCTCCTAAGGGAAGAACTCAAGTTCAAGGTACCTGCAGTTCATCCTGCTAGAAGGGAACTGACCAAAAATGCAAGTGCTGGGCAGGAGGGGGGCAGGCTTCCACGGAATCCCGGCAGGGTGGGTGTGCTTAGCCTACGCCGCGCTGAGAAGCAGAGCGGTTACAACACAGAGACACAGGGCACATCGGGCTGCTTGCTCAGGGCAGGCGAGGAAGCGGCTTATAATCACGCTTAGTCACACACACGCTCCCGTAGACTTCTGTGCAGTTTCCACCCATCGTTTCATTCCACCAACATGACTGGCCGATGAAGAGGTAGGGCAGCAGTGATCCTTGTAAACTGTTTTCCAGCAAAGGAATGTGAGGGTCAGAGAGGTAAAGCAGCAAAGGGTAAAGCTGGGCCTGGGACCTGCCTCCTGACAGCGGGCCTAGCAGCAGGCTCCTTAGGGCAGCTGTGGTCAGCCAGCAACCCACTTGAGAGTCCCAGGCCCCTCCCCAGAGCCACTGGCTTGAATCTCCGGGGCGGGGGGGCATGTCAGCAGCCCCCACAGAAGATGACCTGGTCTTCCTCGCTTCAGGATTCCAAGGTGGTTAAGCCCCAGTGTGAGGGATAAGGAGAAGTGAAATCTTAAATGGAAACTCAAAACGGTCCAGGTCTGGTGTCCCCTGCTGTCCCTCAGTCAGTTCCCTAAACTCAGCCTCCTGGTGGTATTTCAGCTGCAGGCAACACTTTCCAGGGCCAACGGAACTGCTGGAGAAAAGGAGACAGTTAGATCTGAATCCCAGTTTTTCTCTGCTTTTTAATAAGTGGGCTTGGTTAGAATGTTCCCAAGAGTGAGTGAACACGAGGTATAGATCCTCTGTTAATTATGTTGCTGCCATATTCTTGTTCCCTTATTAATTTCTAGACCGAGAAAAGGCAAAGGAGAGGGCAATCTTATACAAGGATGTGGTAGATAGGCGGTTTGTGAAGGTGTAAATGTGCAGCCGCTGACCTCAGCTGCTCACATTGAGGCAAGGATGACGATCATGAACCGTTGTTAGCACCTCCTCAGACCAGCCCCGTGCTTAGTGTTTTGCATATGTGATCTAGATTACTTCTGACAGTAACTCTGGGAGTAGCTCCTGGGATAGATGGTAGAAACTGAACTGTAGGTAATAAAACCTATCTCAGGGAGTGTGATGTTAGTGACTTGACTCCATCCAGCATGGCACGTGTGGCAGAGTCCCCGGGACCACCCTCAGGGTCGAGGATGTGCTGGGAGGACTCACGGAACTTGGTCTGAAGTTGTACACACAGCTCTCATCTAGTCCAGCAAAAGCAAAACCAGCAGAGGGAAGGAGTGCATGGGACAAAACTGTAGGAAGTCGGGTGGGCTTCCTTCCCAGAGTCCTCTCCTGGTGGAGTCACATGGGACACACTTAATTCCTCCAGCATTGAATTGTGTGGCATGGGAAATGTTGCCAGCCAGGGAGCTCACTATGGAGAGACTCAGTCCCCAAGGTTTTAAGGGGGGCACTCGTGCAGACACCATCTGTGTGGCACATACCCAAATGCCGGAATCACAGAGAAAAAGCAGATATTCATAAACCACATTGTTTGCACAAACAGCTTAGGCGCATGAGTCATCCTGAGGGAATGGTGGGACCCCTTCCCAAATCCAGGTTCCCAGGTGCCAGCCAGGGGCCACCCCTGCAAGCATGCCTTTCTAAGGATAGCGGTCTCAGGCCTGGTGCGTTAACTCTTCCTGCACGGCACTCAAAGGTACTTCCTTTTCAGTTTTAAGACATGGGAAATCTGTCTCACAGAGTTCAGGTGGCCTTTCTAAGGATGCAAAGCTAGTAGGTGGCCAGGCCAAGATCTGGAACCCAGATGTCACGGAAGACCCTGAGAAAATTCTTTGTGGAGCCAGAAGGCCCTCAACAGTTTAGTGCTGTCAGACAGAACTTTCTGCAATGAAGGGAATGTCGTATATCAGCGCTGTCTGAGACAGAAACTACTGAGCGCGCATGGCTATGGAACACTTGAAATAGGACTAATAGGACTGAAAACTTGAGTCTTTTTCAACTAAGGAGTTGAATGTTTAAGTTTGTTTAGCTTTTTTAAAGAGATTTTGTTTATTTATTTGAAAGAGAGAGCACAAGCAGGGTGGTGCGGGGAGGGGCAGAGGGAGAGGGAGAAGCAGACTCCCCACTAAACAAGGAGCTTGAGCCTGAGCCTGAGGCAAAGGCAGACACTTCACCGACTGAGCCACCCAGGTACCCCAATGTTAATTTTTTAATTAATTTTAAAAATTAAATTAATTAAATTTAATTTAATCAGGGCATGATCCCAGGGTCCTGGGATTGAGCACCTCATTGGACTCCCTGCTCAGCGGGAATCCTGCTTCTCTCTCTTCCACTCCCCTGCTTTTGTTCCCTCTCTCACTGTCTCTCTCTCTCTCTCTCTCTCTGTCAAATAAATAAAATCTTTGAAAAAGATAATAAACTTAAATAGTTCTGTGTTGCTACTTACTATCATAGTGGACAGCACAGTTTTGCATCATAATGTGATGGCTTTTTCTTCTGGGGAAGCAGATGGGATAGACTTTGGCTCTTGTTCTAAACTAATGAGTGCACTGTTCTGTGGGGCCCTCTCAGCGGGTGTCCTTGAGTATGTGCAACGGTGGAAACTAACATATAATATATGGAAATGTCCTGGGAAAAGCCCCTCTTCATTTTCTTAGTTTTTTGTTATGAAAGAATGGGAAGGATGGGGCACCTGAGTGGCTTGCTGGGTTTAGCATCTGACCCTTGGTCTAGCTCAGGTCTTGATCTCAGGGTCACAAGTTCAAGCCCTGCATTGGGCTCCACACAGGGTATGGAGCCTACTTTAAAAAAATTAAAAAGAAAGGAGCGTGCCCCTCCAAAAAATAAAGCATTAAAGTGGACCCCACAGGGAATTCTGAGGCCCCCCTGGGCAAGCAGCCCTGCTGAACCCCATGCTGCTCCCTCTCTGACCTGCACAGCTAGTTCTCAGGCCTCTGTTACTGACAAATGGGGTGTGACAGCAAGTCGGGCTGACTTTCTGCCTGTGCTGTCTACTTTTGAATGAAGTGCTTATGAGCAGTCAAATAAAAAGACACCTAGAAAAGGGGAGAAGAGATTGTAGGAACCCGTACGGTTAGCTAACCGAGCCCCACCCCTCCTGTGTTCACCCTGACCCCAGGGGGTGGTGCGGTGCTTGGGCAGCACCATGGTGGCTTTGGTGAATGAAGGTCAAGGAAAGCCCATGGGTCAGGATGGCGAAGAGGCTGGAGAGCTAGCATGGGGGTTATGCCTGCCGGGAGTGAATTATCCTCAGTTGGGATCCTGGTTGCAGCCCCTCAGGGAGATCACTTCAGGTCGCTGAGTCCCAACCTCCTCATCTGGGAAATGGGATGATTATTGTGAAAATCAAATGTGGCATCATCAATGTCAGCTGTCGCCTCTGGGCCGTGGCTGCCCCTGCTTACAGCGGGCCTTGCTGGGCTGTGGATGGTGGCTCCAGAAGGCAAGAGCCGGGGCTGCTGCTGACCCCTGCCCACTCCGTTCCAGCAATTCCCCTTCTGTCTGATGTCCGTGAACATCACCCGTATCACAATCCAGGCCTTAAGGGAGGACAGCCTCTCCAGGTGAGTCCCCGCTGCTCCGTCCTGGCTGCTGGCTGGCTGATGACAGTGACCCAGCAGAGCCTGCTTCCCTCCCATCCCCACGCCATTCTCCCTGCTCTCTGGGGAGCCCGTGCCTGTCTCCCAACCCTGCCCTGGGGTTGAAGGCTGTGTGGGGAATGGCTCGCTGGGGGGATGGGGCTGGCCGAGGCACCCAGCTGTCAGCCGTGGTCTGTCGGCTGCTGGGCACACCACCCCGCTTGTGCCGCAGGGAGTGTAACCGGCAGCAGAAGGTGGTCCCCGTGGTGAACAGCTTCTATGCCGCCACCTTCCTCCGCCTCGCACATGTCTGGAGGACGCAGCAGAAGACCATCGCTGACTCTGGCCTTGTCCTCAAAGGTGTGCTCTTTCTTCTTGGAGAGGCCTGAGCTCCCTAGCATCCCTCTCCCCAGATTCAGGGACCCCAGGGTGGTGGCTAGCCTGGTTTGGACTGTGCTTCCCTTCCCCCCAGCCCCCCCAACTCACATCCTCTCGAGCTCCAGCTTCTCAAAGTCTCCATCAGCCCACCCTCTGGAGCCTGCTCGCTCTCCTTTCCCTGCCACCTGTCCTCCCTTTCTGGCCTCAGACCTAGGGTGGTCATGGTTTCTAATCAAAAGCTGGGCCCAACAGTTGGACTAACCATTCCAAGTTGAGACTGTCCTGGTCAAGGTAGAAGGTGTGGTTGCTGTGGCTTTTTCTGGTCCGTCATCCTCCCTCTCTGGTGACCCTCCATCTTAGAACACTCCTTCACCCTTCTCCCCGCGGGGTCTGGGATGAGAGCGCTGCCTAGAGCTGCTGGGCCCGGACTAGTGTGCAGTCCAGAACCCCGTCAAGCCTTTTGTTCTCCAATCCTCTGTTCCAGACTTGGAGGTGTTGGCCAAGAAGAGCCCCAGGCGGCTGCTCAAGACCCTGGAAGTCTACCTGGCTGGAGTGTCAAAGGGACAGGCCTCGTTGTTGGGAGCACCGAAATGCTATGGGCCACAAGCCCCTCACTCCAAGGATCTCACCTTCACAGGCGTGTGTGACCTGCCACCACATTCATCCGAAGGCACGTGGCTGATCTGACCAGCCCAAGGCTGATAGAGACACTTAAAGGCTGGGCCAGAGGGGCTTGGGAGGGTGCGTGGTGCATTGTGCCAGGCGTACCCTGGCTGGGCCTGGTTGGGGAGCCCAAGGACCCTCACCCAGTGAGACTTTCAGGTTAGTTAGACCCATCCCACTCTCCACAGACCCGCCTCCAGAGCAAGAATTTGCCGTAATTGGAGCTGAGTTAGTTGAGAATTGGTTTCCAGGTGAACAAGTGGATGGATCATGAGGTGGGAAGGCCCTGCGTGGATGTTCCCCGTATCCCGCTGAGAGATATTCCCACACAGAGGGGCCAGAATTCTGAGTCGCTGGGCAGCAGGGCTCTCAGGCTGTGGGTGTCCACAGGACAGGGACCTGCAGCTAGAATTTGAAGGGAGAAGGTAGCCATCAGAGCAGCCAATGCGGCAGCATGAATCAGGGCAAGAGGCCTTCTCTCCATCCTCTCCCAAGCTGGTAGCCAGACCCCTGGGGGTTTCTGGTCTGGACTTATCCCACCCTCCCCTCTCCCTATCCCTTAGTTTATGTCACAGAACCAGCTTTCTGGTGGGTGTCTCCATTGCTGCCCACCCTGCCCATCCCAGCTGTCTGCCAGCTGGGCACCCCCCTGCTGCACGCCCCCTACCCTGTGGAGGTATGCACTTCCCATCAGGGGTGGTTTTCTGGCCTGGTTGAAGGAAGGAGGAGATTCACACACCAGCAGTTTTTGAATAAAAGAATTGTTCTAGGTCAGGGGCCCCAAGTGTTTTCCTCCAAGACAAGCCTCATACCTTGCTGTGGTCCTGTTCCAGGGCCTGGTGAGAGCCAGGGGCTCCAGGAGAGAAGGCTGCTCTGCCCTGGCCAGGCTCCCACTGAGGGCATGTGGTGTCCGTCCTGCACTTAGAGGCCCAGACTCCTTGCACACTCTAGCTAGGGGCAAGGGTGGCCCTGGCTCTGGTTATGATTGCTGTGAGGCCCCCACGTGTTTTTCCTACATTGGCTTCTGGGGAAGCTAGTAGCTCTGTTGCCCCATTGCTCCCGGTCAGGGTGTCCCGAGCTGGGGACACCCCACTACACTGCTCTGTCCTCTGTACCCCTTCAAGTAGACCCATGGAAGATCACAGTCTCATCCCTACACACTTCTCCAAGTCCAACCCTCTGGAGCTGGGGTGCAGTGCTGAGGTGAGACAACACAGCCCCCCAGTACAGCAGAGAACTCCCCACCGTTGTTAGCAGGATGCCTCAAGGCCGGGGCTGGTAACGGACTGCAGTTTGCCTCACACCATCCTGGCCCCACCTGAACTAATCCTTCGTCCCCTTTACTTCCTCCAATCTGGGTTCTTAGTGGGCCTGCAGGGGTGGCCAACAGCATCCTGAGCTTGGTGGGGCAGGGGCGCAGAAAGGCTACGACCCAACCTCCACTGGAGAGTGTCCGTTCCGTAGCTCCTCCCCTACCTATACTTGCTCTGCGGAAGGCTAATTCTGCAGACCAGACAGACGACACCCAGTAGCCTGCAGCATGGCTGGGGACCAGTCCACGTGGGCTTCTAGCGGGAGGGGAGGACTGCCACACAGCTCCCCAGAGAGAAGACGGGGGGATACGTAGAGGAGCTGAGCTGATTTCCCTGTGCTACTTTGCACGAAATCAAGATGAACTTGGTTGGAATTTGTTGGGGATGGAAGAATCCAGCCGATCAGAGCTCAAAAGCCACATAACCCTTGGGGCCCAGGGGTGGGAGTGGGTCAGGACAGCCGCAGCTCAGCCTGACCTCCTGAACTCCAGTTCAGACTTACCCAGCCTTGCTCCTGCCCCCAAATTGAGCACTCTGGGCTACTCCGTTCTCCCATTTGGCTCTCTAGCCTGGTTTTCCAGCCACCACCCCATGATACGAAAGAATGGCCTAGACAAGGAAAAGTAGCTTGGCCAGGATGACCCAGAAGCAGGGTAACACACAAACCAGGCTCCGTGATTCTCCACACTAGCCTGGGGTTTCCCTGGCCCTCCAGTGGCCCTGTTCCCATCGGCCTAATGTGATGCGATGAGCCCCCGAGGTGACAAGCCAGACTTGTGTGCAGTGGCAATAAGCTGTCCTCTTGGTCAGCAAGCATGTCGTTCAGGTGCCGCCTCACAGTGGTTTCTCAGGGCAGCTGAGGAAATCACAGCTCAAACAGAACTGTGTCCCCAGCCTGCTGCCCCAGCCTCGTCCCAGCTGGGGACGTGTGACGGAACTGAACCCCAGTGGCAAGCAGTGCCCAGGCCTGGGGCTGTGCCTCCTCCCCACCGGGCTCCCCAAAGTCCCCACCAGCTATCTGGAGCTCTGGGCCCCACCACTTCGAAAGTCTGTCCCAGCCCCTGAGTGGGACGACAGGGGATTGCTGGGCCCTCCTCTACCCCTGCCCCTGGATGAGCCCTGATGGCAAGCGGGGAGTGAGGATTAGCTCAGGGCAGGCGGTGAGGGCAGAGGGTCAGGAAAGCACTCATCACCTTTATTGAACAGCCTCGGGGCCACCTCTGCACTGACCAGGCAGCCAGAGGAGGAGAAAGCGGGCAGGAGGCGGGGGTCAGGGAGGCGCACACCCTCATTTCCAGTCCTTGAAGAATTGCTTGAAGATGGGGCTCTCACGGCCCTGGGGCAGAATCTCCACCTGCAGGAAGACCGGGGGAGAAGTCTAGCCCACGAGGTTCCACCAGGCAAGGCCAGAGCGGAGCCGTGGAGCAGGGTGCCGGCTGCCAGGCCTGAGTCCACATGGTCGCCCAGGCCACGGATGCTCCTGGCCAAGAAATAAGCCAAGAGATGGGACACAGCTGAGAAAACAGATGGCGTCAAGCACTTGGGTGCATAGTCCGAGAGATGCAGCTGTCATCTCTGAGCCTTATCAGCTCCCCTTGGAATGACTCATGGAGTCACCGTGCTGGGGCAACAGGGGCAGGACGAGCCGGAGACCAGGGCCAAGAGGAGGCACACAGGCTGCCCGCACCAGGCTCTCTGGGCTGCCAGAGGAGGGCTGCCCAACGTCCCCTCAGAAAACTCTGTGTACTTTTGGGATGCCTGGGTGTCTCAGCTGAGCATCTGACTTGGTTTCGGCTCAGGTCATGATCTCAGGGTTGTGAGATAGAGCCCGCACTGAGCAGAGTCCGCTGCTCTCCTTCCCTCTCTCCCTCTGCCCCTCCCCCATCATGCTCGTGTGCGAGCTCGCTCTCGCTCAGATAAATAAATTTTAAAAAGGGAAGAGAAGACACCATGTACTTTTAAATGTTGAAGGATTAAAAGGGCTTTCAACCTGGAGGGGCCCGTAGGGAGGCCTGACTGTTCCTGACTGTGCCCAACGATTTCCAGCCCTTCTTGTCCGGTCTGCAGGTTAGGGGGCCACAGGAAGAGCCCCAGGAGGGGGAGGGGGGCACCAGGCTTCTCCTCACCTGAGTGTTGGGGGCATATCGCATGCGGGAGATGAAGTCCTCAGCCACTTGGAGAGCTGCCTGCCGCTCCTTCTCGTTAGCTTTTCGCCCTGGATCAATCGGAAGGGGAATTTTTTAAAAAGAGCAGGGACCCTCTCGTGCCTACATCCCATTTTCTCAGGGAAAGCGATGAGGGAAGCGGTCCATAGATAGCTGGCAGCTTCTCAAATAAATGGACCAGGAGGTGCTAAGATGCTGAGGAGTCTGGAGGTGTGAAGTCAGGCCTGGAGACTTCTTCTAATCTGGCAGCTCCAAATGGGATGGAAACTCCTCCTTTCTGCCTGCTCTAATGGAAACCTTCTGCTCGGACCAGGGCCCCATGGATGCTCAGAGTTAGTGTTCCCCGTGGCATGAGACTCTAAGTTGAGAGCCCCATCCAGGACACCTTACCGCTGGAGTCTGTCAACTGTACTGTTGACAAATATTAACAAGTATCAAGCCTTCTGTGTAAACCTAAATAGGACAAAAGGCTGTGATTTATTATTACCTCACTCCCATGATGCCAGAGCTTATAAAAAGCAAGACCATACAGTTATCCATCCCCTCCTGTGGGCAATCCCGTTAGTGAAAGATGTGGTCTAGGTAAGGCAAGATACTTCTCTTGCTAGCTCCCAATTTTCTTTTTGTTTGTTTTTCTTCTCTGGTTTCTCTTTCCAAAATGATTCGGTTCTTTGCTTGGGGTTAAATTCCCTTCTGTGGACATGTGGGAACCCCTCAAGCTCGGGACTGGTTCCATGGGAAAGGTACCTTGTGGCAAGAGGGGAAAGGCAGCCCCAGTGTCCAGTCTCCCACCATCCCCGCCCCAGCTCACAGAAAGCAAGGAGAGCAGCTCCTTGCTGTCCCCGAGCCCGGAGTATTACTGGCCAGCAGCAGCTACCCTGGGACCGCCTAATCCCTCCCCATCTTCCTCCCCAGGCTAGGGCTGCGGGTTTCTCTGGGCTTTGGTTGCCCCCACAAATATTTATTGAGCAAATGTTATTTCGCCACAACACTGGAGACGATATTGTTCCTGCTCTCAGGAAGGTTATAATCTGGTCAGGGAGGTAAGACACACTCAAGAAAAGAGAAGCATGGAGAAAGAAGTTCCCAGGGTCAGTCGGAGACTCAGAGATTTGTTTCAACATTTTTGGAGTTAAACCAAGCGAACAAGCTTGTACACAACAGTGTTTCTATCTCCAGCCAATATAACTTCTTGGGAAAAACAAGTTGTACTAGTTCATTACCCAGGGCACCAAGTGAGATTTAATTTATCTAAAATTTATGTCATACCCCAAGGCAGAATGGCAAGACTGGGGTCCCAGCAGCCCTGAAGGCCTAGGGGTGCTCTAGGACAGCAGTCCCCCCAAATGTGATCCTGGACCAGCAGCAAGGCCTGGGAACCAGTTAGATATGAAAATTCTTTGGGGGGGGGTGTCCAGCCATCCGTTCTAACAGGCCCTCTGGTGATTCTAAGGCTTGCTGATACTTCAAAACCCCTGCCTGGAATTTAGAGGTAGGAACAGCAAAGAGAAAAGGCTCAGCAGCTCCCTGGTGCTGTTTTTGAAAGCAATCAGGCAGGCTGAGCCCCACAGTGGGAAGCATGCCCAGGTCTGAGCAGCTGCAGGGGCCTGCCTCAGGCTAGAATGGAGAAGCCACGTGTACCTTTCCAGATGTAGATCTTGCCACAGAGCCCATTGTCCAGCACGAAGCAGTCATCAGACAGCAGCAGCTCAAGGGCAAAGGGACTGGAGTCGGCCACCTTGGTCAGGTTCATCTGTCCGGTGGCATCGGAGACCTGGCGGAGGATGGGCAGTGCCAGATCCTACCCACTGCCCCCAGCACACAGCCCTAACCTCCGCCCCTAGACCACAGCCCCCAAGGTCCCCACTCATGGCCCCAGCCCAAGGAGTGGAGAGGAGACTGGGCACACCAACCCTCATGTCACCCTCAGTCACTGCAGCGCCAAGGCCCTGCATTCATTTGGAAATTAAGTGGACTCCAAATTACAAATGAATGCAATGAACCCAAAAAAGTAAAGCTCAGCATTGGTTTCACACTTCCTTTTCCAAGAATGGGGGAGAAGTGAAGTGGTCTTTATCTCCTCAGAAGGGCTGGGCATCCATCCGTTTCCCATCCTCACCTCGCTCAGAGCCCTGGATAAGTCACCCTGCTGCATGACCCAACCTTCCCCGGGCTTCCCCCTCTACCTTCAGCACACCCTGCCCCGGCGCAGGGCAGGCCCAGAGTGCCCACCTTATACAGAGCTGCGGCCTGGGCGTTTGTCCGGTCAGCTGTGAGGTCTTCCTCAGGGTTGCCCTCCTTCAGAGCTGGCTTGGGGCCCAGGACCTAGAGGGGCCACAGCAGGCCAGGTTTCCAGGGACTCCTGGGCATCTGCCCCAGACCTTCCCAACCCGTCATGCCTGAGGCTACCGCGTCTGGGGGAGGCAAACCGTGTCCTGCACAAGGGCACCCAGCAGAGGCGAATGAGGACTGGGTCCAGCCCAGTCCATCTGCCAGGGCACTGGTCCATCCACCCAGAGGGGCGCTTTATTCTGAATTGCACAAGGCACCCTGTGAGAAGCCACAGCCCTAAGCAGTACCCCCAGACCACCCATCCCCACCCCCACCCTCCTCTCCTGACCACCCTCCTCCCCCCAGCTTCTCCCGGCTGCCCACCCCAACGTCCCCCAACCTGGATCATCTCGGCGGGCTCTTCCCCATCCGTGACGATCTCCACCTGGGCCTTGCCCTGCCGCTCACTGTCCCGGATGGCCAGGGCCAGGTCCCGAGCCTTGTTGCGTTCCAGGATGTTGGACTTGCCACCACACCAGGCGAAGATGTTCTGGAGGGAAGTGGGGAGGCTCAGCTGCCTGCATCCAGTCTGTTGTGCGCATGTGTGTGTGTGTGGGGGGAGGGGGTCCTGAAGAACTGCCCCTGGGGGCAAGACCATCTAAGACAACACGACACTTTTTGCGAGAGTGTTTCTGTGGCCAGCCTGTGTCCCACCTGCTTTCCTTTTCTCCACAAGGCTCACCCGCAAATACATAAAGTCTTGATCTTGTCTGTAATCTGTCTCCCCTGACTAGAAAGTAAGCTTCACTAGGGCAGGAGTGTTTTGCTTTGCTTTGTTCACAGCCGTGTCCCCAGTACTTAAACAGAGACTGGCACATATCCAGACACGTATTAAATACTGAAAGAATGAATGAATGAATGAACGAATGAGTGAGGGAAGGGGTGAGCCCTGTATCTCACACCACCACCCGCACCCTGCTGCACTGGTCGCCTCCCTCCACTCAGTACTGCTCACCCTCCTCACACACTGCCCAAGGCCGGCTTCCTGCCTGGAGCCTTCAGTACAAGGTGCAGTCCAGACTCCTCCAACAGTCTCAGGACCTGCGTCTCAGGCTCCGCAACAATTTTCGCTCCCACAGCTCCTGTCCCCACTCAGGGTCCCAGCCCAGCTAGTCCCCTCCCTGCCATCAGCATGTGTTTCTGCATCTCTCCCCCTTCAGTGCCTCAGCCTCACCTGTCCTGTCCCTTCACCGGGAGAGGCAAGTCCCCCCTTCGAGAGGGTCTAGTCAGATGGCTCCTGCCTGGGACGTCAGTGCCCGCTAGAGGGAGCCCTCCCAGCCCCAAGCACCCTCAGCACAGATCCTGCCTCTCCGAGTCCTCATTGCATCCCAGGGAGCATTACAACAGGTGACAGGCCTGTGTGGGCTGCCTTCCCAGGGCAAGCCATTTGTGGTCCCCGGGCAGACTCCAAGTAGGCATCAGAGACTCACTGAGTGAATGGCTGAGCCGACAAATGAACAAGAGGTCTGGCTGGTGCGACCTCGGAGTTACAAAGGCCCCAAGAGGAGGAGACAGTGGGCTGCCATGTTAGAGACCCTGGCTAGACAGCAGAGGGAGGTTTCTGTCTTTCTGAATGTAAAATGTTTTCTAAAGGCTGGAGTGGCTTCTCTCCCGCTCCCTGGCACTCTTAAAAGCCGGGTGCCCACACGGCGCTCAGCCCCACCAGCCTGCTCACCTGGCCCAGGTCCAGGATGAAGCAGTCCCCGGTGTTGAAGCTGTCCCAGCTCAGTGCCCGCTCGGTGGCCCGGATGTTCTTCTTCCCCTTCACCTGGTACAGTTTCTTGATGGCAGCTGGAGCGGCCCCAGTGGAGGTCTTGTGAAATGCTGACTCCACTCCGCCCTCCTGCAGCCCAGACCAGCCAACCTTAGCGGGCTGATGGGAGGCCCCCAGCCTGCCGCAGCCCCTGCCAGCGGGGGATGGGCGGAAAGTGGGGAGGACCCAGGCCTGAGGGCACCTGGGCCTCCTGCAGGGTGAGAACTGGCTGGAAGGAGGAGTGGCTCGGAGAGAAGCCACAGGCTAAGGGTGCCAGAAGGTGGGCTCTGACCTGGTACTTGAGGCCACGTGGGAAGTAGCTCATGAAGAGGTCGGACTCATTGCCCTGCACCTCTCGGTGCTGCACGGGCCGCTCCCCAAGCAGGGTGTTGAGATGCACGGCCAGCATAGCGCAGGCCCCCTGCTCGTCCCGGGAGGACTGCTGGCCTGCAGGGGTGGGGAGGGACAGGCAAGGCCCGTGAGACCAGTGCCAGCCCCAGCTCCCGCTGGGGCCACACCCCCAGCTCGGCTCGCAGCCTCCTTACCTATCCACAGGTGCAGGTGGGACAGCTCTTCCGGGCCATTGTGTAGCACGAGGTAGGAGTCCCCCGAGAAGAAGATGCCCTGGTTCTCACGTGCTACAGGCACTGGCTTCAGTTTCTCTACCCGCCATACATGCAGGCCAGGATCCTGCACTGAGGCTGGGAACGGAGAGCCGCTGCAGGAGGGAAGCGGGGGGTGGTGGTGGTCAGGGCCCAGGAGGAGTGGGCCCAAGCAGACACTGGGGAGGACCGGGGCGGGTGGGGGACTGTGGTGTCGGCATGAGGGAAGCTGTGAGGAGGGCAGCCCTTGAGGCAGAAGAAGGGGAGAAGGGAAAGGGGATGGGGCATATAGCCTACCTCTGGGGGAGGCGTGTGTACATGCTGTTTCCGATTCTGGAAAGACAGAAGAAGCCGTTATAATTACAAATGTTATGACAACCACCCTTCACTTTGGTCTGGGGAGGCCTTTCCAGGTGTCAAATGCTATCATATTCATTAACAACTTCATCGCAAGAGCCCAAGAGATTACCCTGGCTCCATTTTGCAGGCAAAGACACTGAGGCTCAGAAAATCAAAGTCCAAAGCCGCAAAGCTTGTGAGTGGCTAGTGAAAACTAGGTTTCTGACTCCTGAGCCAATATCTTTCTCTTGCTGTGACCTCTCAGCCATACCTCTCCTCTGCTTCCAGACCCCTAACTCTGGTCCTTACACGAGACTGACTGACATACAGCTCTTTAAGCAATAACTGCTTATATTAGAAAAGTCAAAAATCAATAACTTAAGTTCCCACCATAAAAACGCCAGAGAAGGAAAAGCAAATTAAACCCAAAATAATCAGAAGAAACGAAATAATAAAAATATAAGAGCAGAAATCAATAGAAATAAAAAAATATATATGGAGAGAAAATCAATGAAGCTGGGTTGTTTTTTTTTTTAAGATTTTATTTATTTATTTGACAGACAGAGATCACAAGTAGGCAGAGAGGCAGGCAGAGAGAGAGAGGGGAAGCAGGCTCCCTGCTGAGCAGAAAGCCTGATGTGGGGCTCGATCCCAGGACCCTGGCATCATGACCTGAGCCAAAGGCAGAGTCTTTAACCCACTGAGCCACCCAGGTGCCCTAAGAAGCTGGTTTTTGAAAAAAAAAAAAAAAATCAATAAAACTGATGAGCCTTTAGACAAACTGATTAGGAAAAAGAAAAGACACAAATTTCCAATTCAGAAATAAGAGATGATTCACTACAGATTCTACAAATATTAAAAGGACAAAGAGAATATTACAAAAACTTATGCCAATATATTCAACAACATATATGAAATGGGAAAATTCCTTGAAGGATATAAATTATGAAAGTTCAATCAAGAAAAAATAGACTACCTGAATAGTTTTCATATCTATTAAAGAAACTGAATTTGTACATAACCCTCTGCCTCTAATTCCAAGTCATGGTACATTCTTCTTTTTTTTTTTCTTTTTATTCTTCCTTCCTTTCTTTGAAAGAGAGGGAAAGGGAGAAGCAGACTCCCTGCTGGGCAGGGAACCCCACCTGGGGTTCAATCGCAGGACCCTGGGATCGTGATCTGAACTGAAATCAAGAGTCGGATGCTCAACTGAGCCACCCAAGCGACCCCCAAGACATGGTACATTCTACCAAAAATTTAAAGAAGACAAAGTACCGATTCTATTTTCCAGAAAATAGAAGAGAACTTTCCCAATTCATTCTATGCCACCAGCATTATCCTGATATAAAAAACAAGATAAATATATTATAGAAAAGAAAATTAGGGTGTACCTGATTCTAGAAGGACCTTAAGGGACTGAGGAAATTTTTCCTCCCCCACACCTCAAATGTCATATTATTCTATAGGTCAGTGAGAGCAATCTTTTTTGGACAAGTTACTCAAGAGGGAAATGGTAAAGGCAAATATTTCAAAAATATATATTATTATTTTTTTTAAATCAGCAAATGCAATAGCTACAGCTTCACTCACCATCTGTTTCCTATGTTCCTATTACTACACAGCTTTTTTTCTTTCTTGGCTTAAAATGCACAGCCCACACTAGCCAGCACTGTAACACAATTCACGCTGTGCAGGTGAACAGCATCTGTTACTCAGGGTAAGGGCCTGGGGAATTTCAGGGTGAAGAGACAAACGGGCACCACGGGGAGCTTTTTGGGACCTGGGGAAGCAGGAAGGGCGAAGAGCCATCCTTAGGGGATGGACAGGAGAGCAGAGGGTGTTGGGTCTGAGCAGAAAACGGAGGGAAAACAGGAGCAGTGGTAATGGCTGTCAAAAACCACGGGAATCATGACTTCTTTTCCATTCCTAACTCACAGCAGAGCTGAAGGCATTGTTTAGAATCACTCTTTCCCAAAGCAGGAGGCAGTGAGGGGAAATTTGGGGGAGGGAACCTTTAATGTTCCTCCATTCCACAAAAGGTCACATGCTTGCCCACATCCCTTGCCACAGGCTCCTCAGCCTGTGACTCAGGTCTGAAATGGTGGGGCGGCTGTCCCACACCCCAGCCAGCAGGGAGAGATAGTGTGAACAAGAGGGCCAATTGTTAGCGTTACTATTTTTCCTTTTCTGTCCCTGACCGGGGAGCTTGGGCCATACCTCAGAAGCAGGCAGCTCCCCATCGGAACTGCGGGTCTCCAGGACCCACTTGGCCACCTGCTTCTTCATCATCCTCCCTGCCTGTTCAAATTAGCTTGGGATCTTATAAAAACACAGCTGCCCCAGCCCCAGGCCTGGAGATTTTGATCACAGAGGTGTGGAGTGGGGCCTGTGCATCTGCATTTTGAACACACGTTCCAGGTGATTCTCTGCTGCCCGTTAACTGGCCAGAAAGGCATCTCACACCTGCCTGTACATTAGAATCATCGAGCTCAAAAAAATATCCCAGTGTCCAGGCCACACACCAGAACAGTTGAAATCAAAGTTCTCGGGGTGGAGCCGGGATGGAGGGCATGTGTGAGAAGTCCCAGGGAGACTCTAAAGTTCAGGTCGGGGCAGGAACACCTGCCATCCCATCAGATCCCTGCCCCTTGGTCTTCTACTCTAGGGGCCATCAGACACCTCTCCCTTCCAGCGGCTCTGCCCAAGCCCACAGCAGCTTGAGCTTGCCCAGTGTGCACACCCACCCTCAAGTCCAGTGAAGCCCACCACCCTCCAGGCCCAGACCAAACGCCAGCTGTCCAATGAGCCTGCCAGGACGTTCAGCAGCCTCAGTCTTTTCCGGGAGCACTCCCAGCCCTCTCACTCAGGAGCAGATACTCCAGTCTCTACCTGCGGGTTGTCTATTAGGATAATCTGACAGCTTCACCTCTCAGCCACAGCCGCAGACTCGACTGACACTCCTGTGTTCCTCCAACAGCCCATGACAGGCTCCGTGCAATTCCATACAAAGTTTACACTGGGAGCTTGGCACTGGGCAGAGTGATGGTGGGGGCACAGAAATGAGAAAGAACAACCCATGTCTCATGGTCTACCTGGAGGAGGCAGAGCAGTCGGGAGCCATCACACCCAGTGGTGCCACAAACTTCCCCTAGGTGGTGTTGTCACAGAATCACAGATGTCAGCGTTAGAAGGGGCCTAAATACTTATCTAATCCTGTTCCGAATCTGCCTCCCAACACATGCCCATACGTACACAGTGCAGGAATCTCTTCTACAGCATCCCTCACCATCCTCCTCTTGCACACTTCTGCTGATGGGGAACTCACCATCTCACAGGACAGCCTCTTCCACAAATACCTCTTACCTTAAAACCTTTGCTTCTTCCCACTCTCGGAGTACTCTGAGTTATGGATCTGCCTACCTCCCCTACTAGGCTATAAAGGCCCTTTGGGCAGAGACAGTATTTTGCCTCTCTGAACATAGCTAGAACCTGAAGTGGAGCAAAAGAGACCATCCCAAAATAAGCCTCTTTGGCATGTTGATTATTTTAAACCGGCTATTTTTAAGAAGCAGCAGACACAGGTAACATTCTGAAAACGAAGTAGAAGTTGTCCTTGGTAAGAGACATTTACACTTATAAGGGAAATCTCCCTTGGTAAGGGTGTCTCCCCACAGCATCAGGAAGGGAGGGGGGATGACTGTAGCAACTTATCAAAGGGGGAAGCAGCCACTTAAATCTTCATAACAATCTTTCCCTTGTTCATTATGCCTTTCCTGGTAACCTCCCGTAACTGACCCCCAACATCTTTTTTCTTTAACATAAGATGGTATTTAATGGTATTTCTAATGGCTTCAACCATTTCAGGGTGTTTTCCTGGGTCTCTCCCAAGTATACAGGAGGTATACACATGATTAAACTCTGTTTTTTCTCCCGTTAATCTGTCTTGTATCAATTTACTAGACCAGAATCTAGAAGGGAAGAAGGGAAAACTTTTCTGCCGCTACAAACCCCACCCTGTGCCGGGCACCCTGCGGGCGCTCAGAGGACATACTGGATACCTAGGACTTGTGGGGCTGTGATTCTGAGAGCAGCGCAGCAGGAGCCCAAGAGAGCACGGGATTTCACAGGCTGGGACAGGTTGCAACAGCCCTAGAACCAGAAAGCAGAGGCTGGGGAATCCAGTGAGACTGTCCAGAGGCCAGGAGTGGGGGAGGGTGCACACGGGCTTGGCCCTCCAACAGCCCTGACTTTGTTAGGATCCCGCCTTTGAGGACAGCCTGGGGAGCCTGGGGGGGGGGGGGGGCTGATGTGATGCAGACCTTTAAGGCAATGCTTGACAACTGTCCGAACAGCTGTCCCTGCCTGCCCTCCTGTGCTATCTCCGCCCTCCTCAGACACTGACTTTTGATCCGAACAGGTCCCTTCACCTCATGGTCCGTTTGCCTCTAGTTGTGAAATTAAACAGCCCTACCTCACTTCTCAAGAAAGGGTGGGGGGGTAAGCGTCAACACTAGAAATGACAGCAGGTCCCCCCAGCCTGGGACACGGGCATTCCCGGGGGAAGGGGGAAGCTGGGTCCAGAGGCCTTGCCTGGGGACTCCCTAGCTAGTGCTCTTTCCCCTGACACCAAGTGGCGCTCCTACTCTTTCCCTCCTCCACCTTTCCCTCCCTCCTCCTCTCCTTCTTCTACCCCAGGCTCCGGAGCAGACCCTCGGCTGAGGTCTCACTGAATTTGCAAAATAATGGACTGTGTTACAGTTTGAATTCAAATGCGCTGCCCTCTCCCGCAACCACTGCAGCCCACCCGTCTACAATCAGGCCAGTCCAGTCTCAGGGACCCGCATCCTCAAATTTGTCAGGATATCCGCACCTCCTCTCGGGCCAGGCAGGACACGCCTCACCCAGCAGTGGGTCCTCAGTATCCTGGGCACAACCCGCCCTCCTCCGGGGCAGCCGTGGGGCTCCAGACAGACCATAAATGTACCTGGAGCCTGGCACAAAGCTGCCAGGACAGCGGGCTGGGGGACACCGGTCCCGGACAAAGCGGCTTCCAGAAATGTGAGTCTCTGCTTCCAGACCCTGGTAGCCAGCCCCCCCCTGCCCGCGTTAGAGGGTCCCAGGCAGAAGTCCCAGGGGCCGGCTCTCCCTCACCCACCCAGCCACTTTCACCTTTCCGCAGCGCTCCTTCCTGGCACTTCTCCTTTTCAGATTCTTCCTCCCAGCCCGCCCCACCCAGCTTCTCACTTCCCGAAGTCCAGGGCCGGGATGCCCCGCCCACCTGGCTCCGCCCCCGCCCCCGTGGAGCCTGGTCCCCTCCCGTGGGGGGGTTGGGAGAACCGTGCTGAGGGGCCCGCCGGCCTCAATGGAGAAGGGAGAGCACTGGGGCCCAGCAGGGGATGCTGCCAGCTTGGCTTCTTGCTGGCACCCGGTGGGGCATGGGGTGCTAAAGTCCACTCCGGATGGAGGGGGGTTCCCCATAGTGGTCTCAGCAGGCTGCAGGCCAGGGTAGCCTCTGAGTCTGGGACCTGGGAGGAGAGCCTCAGGAGAGCTACCACACTCACCAGCCGCAGGCGGACTTCTCTGCCTGCCCCAGCCTCAGCTGGGTTAGTCATATTTCCTGGGTGGGGTCACTGCCTCTTCAGTGACTTTTTCCTCCTCCCCCAGACTTGTCTTTCTCCTTGCCCTGAATGCATACATTTGATTTTTTTTTTTTTTTTTTTTTTTTTTAAGCTCACCAATGAGGGAGTGTCTGGGGTCTAGAAAACATTCTTTGCTGTGTCCTGCATTCAAAACGTCTCCCGAGTCTACCCTGGGTCATCTTCTCGTTCACCAGATGTTTGCTGACACACAGTCCTGGCACTGGGTGCTCTGAGGGACAGCAATAAAAGGAAGGGTGGTTTGGGGCACTTGGCTGGCTCAATGGGTAGAGCATGCGACTCATGATCTCGGGGCTGTGAGTTGGAGCCCCACATGGGTGTAGAGCCTACTTAAAAAAAAAAAAAAAAAAAAAGGAGTGGTTTTGTCTCAACCCTGGAGCCATCTTGCCTGCATCACATCACAGGACCCTGGAGCTAGTGTGGCCAGCTTGCTTGCACGCTTTCTAGAGGAGGAGACTGAGGCCTTGCGAGCACAAGTGGCTTGCCCACGGTCCTGTGCGACCAGATGCAGGTCACACAGGAATGGGAGGCAGGGGCAGTGTAAGGGGGGAAGCTGCCATTTCTTTCTGAATCCATGCGGAGGGATGCAGAGTCTGCGTGAGATCCAGGAGAAAGTGAGCGCCCAGTTACTCAACCACACGTGCGGCTCTAGGGACTCAGGCCTGCCCTGGCCCAGTGCTGGTCAACAGGCTCGTTAAAGATAAGGCTCAGGCTTGAGAGACAAAGGCCCCACCCAGGGGGCAGTGGTTTAGGCAGAACGAAGCCAAATCCACGTGTTAAAATTTCAAGACCAGAGCAAGATGGTAAATACTATTTGGAGAATGCAGACTGGCTGACATCTGAGTGTCTTCATGGTCAAACTGCTGGTCTTTTTCATTTTTTTTTTTCTTAAAGCCCATGCAAGTTGGGTGACCTCCCCCATACCTCCCTTTTCTTTTTTAAGAAAGAGAGAGAGATTTATTTGAAAGAGAAAGTGAGATCACAAGTAGGCAGAGAGGCAGGCAGAGAGAGAGGAAGGGAAGCAGGCTCCCCGCTGAGCAGAGAGCCTGATGTGGGGCTCGATCCCAAGACCCTGAGATCATGATCAGAGCAAAAGGCAGAGGCTCAACCCACTGAGCCACCCAGGTGCCCCAAACTGCTGGTTTTAAATACAAGGTAATCTGAGCTGTAACACCCACAAGAGCCTTGTCCCCACAAGAACCTGTGGCTGGGCAGATAACCTGGCAGAGCAGAAAGAGCTGATAGTTTGACTACTTACTCGCTGTGTTTAATCTGGAGCCTCACCGTACCCAGTCTGTAAGTGGGCAGAAAGATAAAGGCAAAGATTAAACGAGATCATAAAATTAACAAATAGATGCTTAATAAACTTAGACTTATTTTTCTTCCCAACAAAGAGAATTTAGTAGGGGGACCCCAGTAGGTGTGCTGAGCACCTCAGGAAGTAATACCCCTGGCCCTCCCACCATGAGCTTGGTGTAGCTGGCAAGTGGATGGGAAGTCACACCACACCTCACCGCCTCTTGTCCCCGCCCCTTAGTCCCACCCTAGCAAGGTTTACAGATTCTGGTCTGCCCCGGGGCATAACAGGTAGCTCTTCGGTTCTGTACTGACTCTGTGCATTAGGGAGGATGAATGGGAGTTACTGTTCTCCACATTTGAGCCTCACTTGGCCAATGGTGGCCCCATCACCACAAACATGAAATGAGGTTTGCGAATTAAGGGCAAAACAATCGCTTCTCGGCCTTTTAGCTAAGATCAAGTGCGAATTAAGGGCAAAACAAAAGAGCAGGTCGCTCAGCCTGGGAATCCCAAGCCCCTTAGCACTCCATAAGCGACAAAAACATCTGGTAACCAGACTCTAAATCGTGTGTGTGTGTGTGTGTGTGTGTGTGTGTGTGTTTGGTTTGTTTGGTTTTCTTTTAACCAGACTCACATTTTTCCTCTCACTCCAGCCTGCCCCAGCGGAAATGCCCAGTTTGTCACAGATGGAGTAAAATAAAGCATTTCTTTAGCAAGGATCCGCCCCCTCCCGCCTCTCCTTTCGGGAAGGCCCCTCTTTTCGGGAAGCGGGAAGACATGATAAGGCAAGTGTGTGTGCCCCAAGAGGACACGGGGAGCGAGAGCCCGGAGGAGGCGCCCCGGGCCAGCAGAGTCCCTCCGACCCCTGTAGCGGAGCCTGGCTCCGAGGGTCAGACCCCGGAGCGCTGCTCGCCTGCCAGCGCCTCGCCCGTAGCTCGTGGCCGTGGCGGTGGCCTCCGCCGCCCCGCACGCCCAGGCGAAGTCAGAGCCCGGAGGCCTGAACCGGCTGGGGGCGCTGCTGAGCCGTCCCTCGCCCCTGTCCCTTGCCGGGAGCCAGGGATGCTCACGTGGACCTAGAATTGTAGCGGGTATTGGGGAGGCTAACAGCAGCCAGGCCGCGCGGGAAACTCCGCCAGGGATGGCAGCGTCCACAGCCCCAGTCGACTGATAGAGCCTTGGACTCGCTCAAGCTCTCACAGCTGCTGTCTGTCCCTTGAGTGCCTGCTGCGGACTCAGTGGCTTTACACACGATGTGGTTCTGTCCTCAGACCTACTACCCTCATCATTAGGCTTCATGGACAGAGAAGAGTCAGGGAGGCTCAGGGGGGGTGACTTGTCCAGGGTCACATTGCCAGTTCAGCCACGAACCAGGATTCTCGCCCAGGCTGGCCTGGCTTCAAAGCCTGGACTAGACCTGCAATACCTCCCACCCTTCTCTCCAGAGGAAGACAGGCCAGCCCGTGTTTGCACCAGCCAGCCGGGCCCTCCAGGAAGTGAGTCAGCACAGGGGCCACACTTCCACCCTGGATCCTGAGTGGAGAGTCAGGAGCCGCCGGCAAACCCCAAAAGATGTTAGCTGACAAAAAGCATTGTAATCAGGATATGGACCTGGCCTCCTGACCCGGGGGTAACAGGACATTGTTCTCCTTTCTTGGAAGCAGCTTTAAAACTTCGAACTAGGGGCGCTGGGGTGGCTCAGTGGCTGACTCTTGGTTTCTCCTCAGGTGGTGATTTCATGGGTCATAGAATTGAGCCCCAGGTTGGGCTCCGTGCTCAGAGGGGAGTCTGCTGGTGATTCTTTCCTTCTGGCCCTCCCCCCTCTCCTGCTTGCTAGCACAGGTGTTCTCTCTCTCAAATAAATAATAAATCTGAAAAACAGAAAACCCTAAGAACTTCCAACTAGCTTAGGGGCACCTGGAGAGTTCAGTCAGTAGAGCTTGGGACTCTTGATGTCCTGGTCATGAGTTTGAGACCCATGTTGGGGGTAGAATTTATTTTAAAAATTAATAAATAAAATTAATTTAAAAAAACTTTTTAGGGGTGTCTGGGGGTCTCAGTCGGTTAAGCGTCCACCTTTGGCTCAGGTCAGGTCCTGGGAGGGAGCTCCTACTCAGTGGGGAGTCTGCCTTTTCCCCTCCTCTGTCCCTCACTCCCTTGTGCTCTCTCTCTCAGATGAATAAATAAATAAGGATTTTGTTTTATATATCTGAGAGAGGGAGCGAGCACATGAGCAGGGGGAGGACAGAGGGAGAGGGAGAAAAAAAAATCCCAAGTGGACCCACACTGAGCATGCCGAGGACATGGAGCTCTATCCCAGGATTCAGAGATCATGACCTGAGCCGAAGGCAGTCGCTTAACTGCTTAACTGACTGAGCCATTCAGGTGCCCCTATTTTTTAAAAAAGTATTCCAACCAGGGGTACCTGGGTGGCTCAGTGGGTTGGGCCTCTACCTTCGGCTCGAGTCGTGATCCCAGGGTCCTGAGATCGAGCCCCGCATCGGGCTTTCTGCTCTGTGGGGAGCCTGCTTCCTCCTCTTTCTCTCTGCCTGCCTCTCTGCCTACCTGTGATCTCTGTCTGTCAAATAAATAAATAAAATCTTTAAAAAAAATAATTCCAACCAGCTTGAATTTCACTGAGGCCTACTGATAGGGCTTGGAGGAAGGGAAGCAGTTCAAAGCTTGGTACTACCCCTTTCTATCTGAACCGTGCTAGGCAACCACACTTCACTGAGCAGTGCTGAGAAACCACCCTCCCCCTGTCCACTGTCTTCTTGCCAACTGCTCACCCTGCACACTCAGTTGAAATATTGGTCCCCTGAAACGTGCAGCAATCTCTGTCCCCCTCCTCTGTAGTTCCCAGGTGCTCTGGGCATCAAGGCTACTAGGCCATCTGATCTACAGCCTGCATGGGAAAACTTTTCAACCACACCACACAAGGAAAGGTGGAATTGTACCCATGGGCAACCTAATTTGCCTCTGGCCCACTTCCCAACAGTTACCCCCTGCTAACACCTGGATAGACATAGTCTTCCCAGAGCATTCTCATTTTCTACATTTTTAGGGAAAATATACAGCAAAATGCACAAAGCATATGCATACTGAGTTTTGGCATATGCAAACACCCATGTAAACCTATATCCTACCAAGATATAAAACACTTCTGCCCCCCTGGAAAGTTCTCTTGCCATCACTTTTTATCATCTGCTACATGCGTGCCTCTCCTATCACA